ACTTTAGGCCCCCTAACAACCATATAACAACATAAACATGCCATATTGTAGCACAGGAATATCGTAGAAAGACAGGGTTTGGGTTCTTTTGATGCAGATTGATCAAATCTCTATTGTCTTCACCTATTACAAAGGCGTTGCCACACCCTAGCAACCATTTACATTACCCTAGCAACCACATAAACACATGAATTTAACCATTTCTCCGCATTTACTGCTATTTTGCCCAGTTTAGTACCATTTTGTACCCCATCGATTTGCCACGCAAACCCCATTCACATTTCCTTTAGGAAATGTACAATTCTAGTGTTACTATTACTGTTCACTTTTTCAAAACTTCGGCGCGCAACTCTGGCCGCATTTTTTGCCCTAGAATGATGAGTGAGGTGTCAAATCGACCGGCCTGTTGAGGAGAGGTGTGCTATGATTTTTCAAAGAGGTTGGGGGTACACTGCCCCCATGAGGGGCAACAAAGTAACCCCCAAAATCCCCATAGACTTAACATGGACACAAAATGGCTGACATTGATATCTAGATTAGAGAGTCGTAGAAGCTTGAGAGTGGGCTCATTTTACTACGCCTGTCAAGTCAGTATTAAGTAGTGACATAACAAATTTGTAGAAACTCCCTAGCAACCACTTTAGGCCCCCTAACAACCATATAACAACATAAACAAGCCATATTTTAGCACAGGAATATCGTAGAAAGACAGGGTTTGGGTTCTTTTGATGCAGGTTGATCAAATCTCTATCGTCTTCACCTATTACAAAGGCGTTGCCACACCCTAGCAACCATTTACATTACCCTAGCAACCACATAAACACATGAATTTAACCATTTCTTACCTTTCAAGTGCTATTGCCCAGTTTAGTACCATTTTGTACCCCATCGATTTGCCACGCAAACCCCATTCACATTTCCTTTAGGAAATGTACAATTCTAGTTATTATTATTATTATAGATAAATGCTATAATAGTAACACATATAACCAACAAGTTTAATAATAATAATAATAATATTATTATTATTATTAATTAATAATAGTAGTAGTTGTTTTAATATTATTATTATTATTATTATTATTATTATTATTATTATTATTTAGATGATGATGATGATGATGATGATAACAAATGCTATAATAGCAATAAATATAACCAACAATTTTGTATAACAACTATTATTATTGATAACCAATGCTATAACAGTGATAAACATAACCAACAATACGTTAATAATATTAACAACAACTATTATTATTAACATTAATATTAATAATAATAATAATAATAATAATAATTATTATTATTATTATTATTATTATTAATTATTATTATTATTATTATTATAATAATTAGTTGTTGTTTTTATATTATTATTATTATTATTATTATTATTATTATTGATGATAACAAATGCCATAATAGCAATAAATATAACCAACAATTGTATAACAACTATTATTATTGATAACAAATGCTATAACAGTGATAAATATAACCAACAATACGTTAATAATAACAACTATTATTATTATTATTATCAACAAGTGCTATAATAGTAAATATAACCAACAGTACTGTTAAATAATAATAATAATAATAATAATAAGTTTCTTATGAAGGGCCAAAAACCAAAACAAACTAAAGATAAATATACCAAACTGTATTACAATAAGTTATGCTAAATTTCTAATTTAATAATATTTTTTAAAATTGTATAATATAAATAACATATGTTTTTACATTTTACTATGAACGTCTTACAATGAAAACAATCCCATTTAGAGCATAATGGAGTTCAGTATCAATGTCTTGTGCATAGTCTTCTACCTGTCATGTAACCGTTTTTTCATGTTAAAATGTAAATACGGATTCATTCACAAAATTTACCGGATAAATAATTTCAGTTTTTGGCAGCTCAACAAAGAAATAAAAGGTTATGTTGAATCAGAATTGACGATCTCGGTTTAAGGCATTTGCCCCAATCTTTCCCATCATTCTCCCTCAGATTTGGTGGTGGGCCAAATCAAATGCTTACCATGAGCCAACTTTGGCCCACGGGCCCTAGTTTGAGCATCTCTGGCCTAAACATAATCACACAGATGATGCTTTTGCACTCACCGTCAGGTCACACGTCAATAAAACCACAATCTGCCTTTGATTATTTATGGATTGAAAGTTGGCCAGTTTGAGAACAAATGTACGGTTATATATAGAGAGACGCTGAAAGCAAAGAGCAGCTTTCGTGAGAGCGTATAATGACCACAAGAGCACACAGAATCTGGAGATAATCGCGATTCATCCCGGATGTTCAGCGTTTGACTGAAACTAATGAAGGACTGAAGGAAACGTACAGATCATCATTATATTCTGCAATCCTGTTATAACTGTAGCGTCTGTATCTGCAGATAATCACAGGACAGAAAGTGCAGAAGCTCTTATCAGACTGTCTGTGTGGCAAAACACCCAGGAGTTCAGCTTACAGAAGGCACTCGCTTAATTGCTGCTGCTGGTAAATCTTTTTATGTCTACCTTTAAGATTATTATATATTTATTATTATTATTATTACCAGATTTGAACATTAATTTGGTTTTATTGATGTGTGATGTGACATTGTGTGCAAAAGCATTATTTATGTGATGAAGCCTCGGAAATATTAGGTTACGAATGCAAAATGAAGGCTGTATGGCAGCCTAAACCAGTCAAAACTACATGTAACGCTGTTCTTGCTAAAACATTATCATTATTATAATAATTAATTGGTAATAATATTAAGTTCATAATTATAATATTGTATTATATTATTACATTACATGATATTATCAACAATTATTAAATTATTAAAAATAGGCAAGGCTTGCATTTGGCTGGTTAGGATTTAAAATGTAAATATGTATATAAACATTTATTAAAGGAGTTCAATTGAATTATGTAATTACAATTATAACCATGCCAGAACATGCACATAATTATAATTAATAATTATTTGGTGGTAATTTTGCTTTGACAAAGCACAAAAATGCACCCAATTAATAATGCCCAAACGATAATTAAGAGAAACAAGAGAAAATCTAATGTCTTTACGTTTGGCTGAAATTAAAACAAATAAAAATATTTTATCATCGATTATTAATAATTATTATGCATTTTATATCATCACATTATCATTTATTTTATTCATAGTTGAATTATTTTCATACATCAACTTATGAAAATATTTAAATAATAAATGTCAATAATAATGTTAATAAACAATAATAATAATAATGATTATTACTACTACTACTGCTACATTTTTAATACTTTCATTTGTATTATTTACTTTATATTATCATTAATACTATTATCATCATCATCATCATCATCATCATCACTGTTATTATTATTATTATTACTATTATTATTATTATTATTATTATTATTATTATTGCATAAATTGTTTATTTAAGAAATAGGCAAGGTTTGCATTTGGTTGTATAGGATTTAAACTGGTGTACATTTATTAAAAGGGTTCAATTAAACAAATTATGCAATTTTAATAACAGTATGTGCATGTTCGTTATGGCATGGTTATAATTGTAATTAGCATGTATTTCGTGGTAGTTTTGCTTTGACAAAGCACAACAAAATTGCACAAAATTAATGTCCAAACTATATTAGAGAGAGAAAAAAATATATATAAAATAAAAACAGAAAATCTTATCTCTTTTAGTTTGGTTCTAATTAAAATAAATAATTATTAATTCCTATTAGGCATTTTATATTGTATTAATATTTTTTTAAATAACTTTTATACATGTATTATTACCTGTAATCATTTTAATATGATAATAATAATTTAAATTATTGTTATTGCATTAATTACTTAATCATATTTACGTTATCATCATCATCATCATCATATATTTTAATATTGTCCTATTTTAATTATGCATTTCATATTAATTTTGTAATATTTATTTTCATTAATAATAATTACTAGTTATTATACATTTTATATTATACATTTAACTGAAACCAATAGAATTAAATACTTTGTTACAACAAACATATATATCCTAACAATTATAAAAATGTGCTAGAATGATTAATCTGTATGAATACAGTTTGTGTGGCTGTTTTTATTTCCATTGTAAAATATTAAAAATGGCAGGACACTCCAGAATGGTTGCCAAGTAATACCTTAAAATCTACACAGTCTACAGATGAATGCACATTTAACTAGGAATATGGAAAGTTCGCTTTATATGAATAAATATAAAAGAGCCAAAGTCTTCCATGTGAGAGTAAAGAAAGATCACCTCTCAAGGTTATTGATTATCAGCTGTTATGAAAACCAATAAAACCCTAACCAGTTTATCACGCAGATAAGCTTTAAAATGTCAAATTGCTCTTATCTAAATTGGCAGCACAAATATGTGATGCTGTTTGTGTTTAAAACGCCTCCACCTCGGCCCGTTCAGTGCTTTTGACTGTTTTTCAGAGTTTCAGCTCTTGTAAATGAGATTATGCTGCTGATTACTGCCATTAAACCATTACAACATCTGATAAGCTAATTGGGAATGATGGTTATTGTGACCTTTATGATGTTTGCAGGGCTCTCACTCAACAACCCATCATAAAGCAGATTAAGACTGGAAATCTGAGCGACTAAAGGTTTTCTGATTACATGTAGAAAAAGAAAACCCACTTGCTTCAAACTGGTTTGATTTTAAGTTTTGCTTCTGTTGTATGCAAAGATATTCCTAAAAACGCTCTTAAAAAGCCTTTGACTCCCATTTTAACAACAAAAAGATACCATATGGATGTTAATAGTTGTGTTTCCATCTCCTATGTGAATTAAATATATTTGCAAAACTGGAATCTCAAAAAAACATTAGTAAATAAAGCAGCATTTACATCCAAAAGACAGCGGATGCCCTTCCAGCCGCAACCCAACACTGGGAAAAATGCATTAATATATATATTTATTAAAGCATTAGTCTGGTTCTCTTACCGGGTGGATATCAATAAAAAGGCCATGTTCATCTTCACTTGGGCTCAATCCACTGACTGTGTCCAGCAGCTGCGGGTCAGCGTTATAAAAGTGCGGCTGAGAGATGAATGTTGGAGAACCTGAGATGGTGAGAGAAAATAATAAGGGAAGAAATGCTCCTAAAAAGCTTAAACGTATATAAAAAACAACAATAAATAAAAAATAATAATAAAAATAAATAAGTTAAAGCTATGTGTAAGAGATCTAAAAAATAAAAATAAAAACAGATTTTATTGCATTTCAAATACCAATATATAATAAATGAACATGGATATTTCTAAAAATACAATTATAACAATTTAAAATTGTATTTCCCATTTTGTGATGAATAATCAAATTTCTCCTCCCCTAATAAACTTGAGTTTGTTGTGGTAAAAAAGGGGGAGGGGGGTTGGGGCACACAAAAAACATGAGAAAACAAGTGATAAGTGACAAGGAAAAAGTAATGCTAAACGACAAGAAAAGGAAATAAAAAAAGGAGAAATTAATTAGTAACAAGATAAAAATATGAACAAAGAGAACAAAAAAGGAAAAAAGACAAGGAAGGGAAGAAAAATAAAGAGGACAGAAAAGAGAATAAAATAGAAGGAATGAAATAAGAGAAATGAAAAAGAAAATAAGGGAAAACAAAAGGAGACGAAAGCAAAGAAAGATGAAAACGAAAAATGGAAAAAAAAACAAAAAAAAAAAAACAAAGAAAGTAGTATACAAAGAAAATAAAAAAAAAAAAAAAAGCTGAAAAAAGCAAACAAAAAGAGACCAACAGGATGTAAAAGATGAACAAAAGAAACCATGAAAAAAAAAAAGTTACAAAAAAAAAAAAAAAAAAAAAGAGTTAAAAATGGAAAATGAGGGGAAAAAAGCATAATACAAAAGATAAACAAAAACAGGAAAAAGTTAAAAAAAAAAAAAAAATTAATTGCTTTTCATTTTTAAAAAAAAAAAAAAAAAAATTGCATTAAAGCACGAGTGTTGTAGCATCTGACCGTGTCTGCAGGAGCTGACGTTCAGCAGGCCCGACTGCCTGCACGGACAGAATCCTTCATTTGGAGGAAAGTCTGCCCCGTTTGCAAACAGAGTTTTCGGAGAGACGTATCGGTAAACAGGAATCCCACTGGACACCAGCGGCCGCTGATACACCAGCTCCATCGACCTGACACACACAAGCTCATTATGGGCTGTTCTCATTTCACTTCAGTACTTAAAGCAAACATTTTCATTTTGATTTTAGACTCAAAATAATAATAAAATAATAATAATAAAACACACACACACACACACACACGGATAAATGAAAAAGAAAAATCAATAAAATTAAGTGTGGATTAAATTAGACTGATAAATTATAATTCCATATTTAGTTTATATTTAAAGCACTTTATTCAAACCATGAAAACATGATTTAAGCATTTTCAAAAATTTCCAGCACCCAAACAAACCCTGTTTTAGAGGAGCCTCAGTGAAAGGCACAGGATGTTTTTATAGCACTATGGGCTCTTATTTTTTTGGTGCTCTTGAGTGCTCACCGGCAGGCGTCTGGGCTGTAGAAGGGCATGGTGGTCTCTTTGGTCATAAAAGGAGGCCACATCTGACCCGCTGTGCCGTTGATCATATTACACTGATCAGACCTCCAGTAGTCCACCTGCACACATTAAACACAGCATTTCCTGCTCAACACGTGACGGCTGTGTCCAAATCACACACACAATCACTTCTATACATATAGCAGATGAGGAATTAACATTTACATGCATCAAGGGATTCTGGGATTTCTGATGCTAACAGGAGGATGCGCTGGAAAAATATATTAATTTTTTAAAAATATATTAAATATATTAATTTTAATATATATAAAAAAAAAAATATATATATATATATATTTGGAAATACATTTATATATATTTAAAAAAAAAAAAGTATTTGGAAATACATTTATATATATAAAAAAAAAAAAGTATTTGGAAATACATTTATAAAATTAAATAAATGGCACTCTTATTTTATTGCCGTTTTAAGCAAGAAAAGAAAATTGAAAAATTAAAGAATAAAAATAAACAACTTTTACAAATGAAAAAAAATAAAAGAATAAAGAAAAATTAAGGAATTTAAGCAAAAGATTTAAGTGACTATGAACATTTTTAAATGACAAATACGATTCTTTTCATCAAAATTGTATTGTATTCATTAATAGAAGGGAAACACTACAAATAAGAAAAAGAAAACTGAATAATTAAGAGAAAAAAAAAACAAATCAGTTGAGAAAATGAGAAAAAAAAGATGGGAAAATGGGGGAAATGCATTAAATACAATCAGTGTTAAAGTTGCTTTTCTAAATAATAAAGTAACATTAATAAAGGGATCAAGGGAAGAAATAAAACATTATAAAAAGTTAAAATGTGAACAGAAAATGTTCATGCTGTGTTCACACCAGACACTGCTTGAGTGAATAAATCGTGCTATTCATGTTAGACCAATGACTGTAAAAAATATGGACGACGCAACAGCCCTTTTTCCCATTGAACGCCTTGAGGGCAAAACGCCTGCTTGACGGGCACAAACTGTCGCAAAAGACTGCTGAAATTGGAGCCAGACATGCGCAGAAAGATTGTCTGATGGAGCCAGAGGAGGAGCCGCGAAAATGAGCAGAGTCGAGCTTCCAATCAAACGCTTTATGTAAAATCAACTACGCCCCCCGAACTGCTCAGCATGCGTTTGCTGTCATATCAACACAAATGGATGTAATAACGTTAACAAATATGAGGGTTTATATATATTCAATCGCGCCAGCTCCAGGCCGCAGCGCATAACTTACTCGCGGCGTCGCAGGCTGATTCCGGCTCGCATGCGGCAGCGCCGGCTCGCTCGGCCGCCGCATCTGGCTCGATTGACTCGGGCTGGAATTGGGTAGTGAGTCCAGGCATCCGGAGTAGGTCCAGCAGAGGTAACATTAGTCAGTCTGAGCTCTAAGAGATAAGTCTCCGGCAGGCGAGAATCTAGCCGGAACTGTGTTTTGCTATCTGGGTGGTTAGGCGTGTATCAGCAAACTAATAAAGCCCGAAAAAAGCCCTGAACTTAGCGAATAAACAGTGTTCCACCAGGATCATGTATGTCAGAAACTGTAGTTTACTGCTGAACTCATTTGTCATGGTAAAATAACACAGAAATCGAATAATAACATTTCAGTCTACTTCAGTCTCCTGCTGAAGCTCAGACGCGCTGCTTTGAGAAACTGTCAATCACAGCTGTCAATCACGATGACACGCCCAGCATTAAATTACTGCTAAAAACAAACTGTTTACAAAAATGAAGATCTGCACCTATTTCAGCACAATAACCAGTGCCTTAATCCACCAGAAACATCTTTCGGGACATTTTATTGCAAGTGTAATATTTTTTTTTATTTGGGCTCAAGTCTCCTTCATTAACACGGAGGAGGCGGGCTTTATGACTTGTACTGCAGCCAGCCCCCAGGGGGCGATCTAACGGCCGAAACCTTCACTCAAACGCAGGCTTGCGGCACACTTGTGTTAGACGCGTGAATGTTGAGTTTAGCTTCATTCAGGTGTCAAATTCCCTTCACAACAGACGCAGACTCATCAACTCCTCCAGAAACTATACCTGGATGGAGGTTTTCAGTGGTTTTTTTTAGCTTTTGTAAGAGGTTAAATGATCATATGCATTTGTTTATTCGATTAAACATGTCTTTTTGACTCAAGAAGGTCCATACTGACTCCAAAGGCAGCTACTGATAAGATCAGGGCCTGGTGTGTGGACTTTGGGGGTTTTATGATGTGGTCACATTTTGATTGGTCAGTTTAAACGTCTCAGCATTTGGGCTTTAGGCTGTACTCACACTAGGTACAGTTGCCTCGAACCGGGCCAAAGCACGATTGTCCCCCCTCCCGTCTCCCCTGACGGCCCGCACTCACACACAATCCTCTGCACGCTTACGTCATCGCTGCTGCGCTGTTCAGTGAGAAGCGCTCTCTCACTCAGCAGCACAGTGGAGATTGCTCTAGTTATATCGTGTCAGTGGTTTGTTATGCAGTGACACGCAGTCAAATATTTCGCCAAACAGTCCTTAGGGATGCGGTGACAAGCAGTCAGATATTTCACTGAACAGATCCGCCACTTTTGGCGCTCATAAACAGTCATAAAGCTCTCGTGCTGCAGGAATGAGGAGGTCTGCTGAAGGTGCAGCTGTCGTGCAGTGAGGGGTTTGCGTCTTTAATAAACTACGGCAGTTTGCGTTCACTGAACAGTCAGAATGATTAATAAATCCATATGAAACAGTTGCTTAAGTCACGTCTCGCTTTCAGTTTCGGGCTTTGGCGCGTTTTGCACTCACACTACAAGCCAAAGCCCAAGTGAACTGCACTCACACCTCTTCCAACCGGGCCAGGGCCGGCCAAGTGAACTATGCCTGAGCCCGATTCAGCACACTCACACTTCTCAAACGAACCGGGAAACGGGCCTGGGCACAGTACGGATGGCATAGTGTGAGTAGGCCCTTAGTCACATGGTCAAGAGAGATACAAAATAGGTGTAAAACTCTGCTCTGCCTCTTCTCCTGCTCTGCTCCTCTCCTCCTCTGGAGTCCATCTTCTCTGCCTCTTTGAGGCCCACTTGCTCTCTTTGTCTCTCCTTCTACCTCTGGTCACTTTAATTTTACATTTAAGCTGGGTACAATTTATATAATATCTTTATCAATTCATATTTTATCATTTAATACAGTTACAGAGAATTATAGTCATTAAATCTCATTTTCAAGTATTTGTGAATTGCTTTTGATTTAACATCAACATTTAATAGTTCCATATTGCAATACAGTACAATCACATAATATTAACGCTCTCCTATGTTTATAGCTATTAATACTGCCCTGATTTCCATTATTGGTATGAGATTGCAGAAGAATGGTTTGTCTAGAAATGTACAGTTTAATCTCATGCTGATAACTTTAGTCACTCGGCAGAACTACAGTTCGAACCGCTGTGGTTCAAAACCCATTCTTACACTTCCGACCGAGCTGAGCCCAGTTTGATGAGCTGTTCTCCGGTGTCGGCAGGAGGATTTCCCCTCGGGACACCATTCATTCATTCATTTTCTTGTCGGCTAAGTCCCTTTATTAATCCGGGGACGCCACAGCGGAACGAACCGCCAACTTATCCAGCAAGTTTTTTTTACGGTAAAAAAAAAAAAGCTGTTTTTTACAGCCGCAACCCATCTCTGGGAAACATCCACACACATTCACACACACACACACTCATACACTACGGACAATTTAGCCTACACAATTCACCTGTACCGCATGTGTTTGGACTGTGGGGGAAACCGGAGCACCCGGAGGAAACCCACACGAATGCAGGGAGAACATGCAAACTCCACACAGAAACTCCAACTGAGCAGAGGTTCGAACCAGTGACCTTCTTGCTGTGAGGCAACAGCACTACCTACTGCGCCACTGCCTTTGCCCTCGGGACACCAACAGGTGCTAAATCAATCACGCCCCTACTAGAGCAAGCTCCTGATTGGTTGACGTGGTTTTCAAGTTCAGATTTTCCAACTCAAGCGGTTCACATGTCAAACACACAGAACGCTCAATTCACACAAACCACATCATATGCACGAATCGCCTTGTTTGCGCAAATCGTGCCACAGGATGTCTATTGTCGCATCTTTGCATTGACTTAACATGTAATTACCCGTGTTTGATGCTTCATCTGCGTCTGGGGTGTGAACACACTACTACCGTTTACCCAAAAAGAATGCAGACTTGAGCAAAAGAGATAGAACAGATGTACATAACTTACTAAATTAAGCACAGATTTCTTTTTTATGCAAGTGTTTTTACTGAGCTCAATTTAAACGTTTTTTTTCGGGGTAATTTTTTGGCATTAAACTCATAACGATAAACTCATGCAATCAATCTTGCATCATTTTTATAATCAAAATGCATGCGTTTTTTTCTTACATTTTTGAGGCCGTTCCAGGAGTCCACCATGTGCACCTTGCGGATGTCGTCTCGGCCGGTGAAGATGGTGAACAGCCCCGTGTTGGAGTTATTAAACTACAGAAAGGGAAAAAAACAAATGCTGAAAATCAGCAACTGAACTGGATGATGGAGCTATGATGGAATATTAAATGAGCAAACAGTGGGCGTGGCTTATTTTTTTCCATTGTATCCCACTGCTCTTGGGACTTATTTAAAAGGTAACGCACATCAGCAAATAAGCCGAATTTGCCGCTGGACGGGAGCATGCCGGGCAGGTATTTGTTGAGGAAGTCCACTAGTTTGCTGTCATAGCCCCACATCAGCTCTCCTACTGGTTTGGTCAGGAACGGACCCTCGTTAAAGGTCTTGAAGGTGGTGCTGAGCAGAAGGCGGACGGGAAACGGCATGTTCTCCATCATCACTGATGCTCCCTGAGGAAAGAGCACAAACAGCAGCACCCAAATAAACTAATTATAATACGAGTTTCTTAAAATTATGATACTTAGCATGACGATTCCAAAATTACATTTGAATATGATTTAAAAAAAAAAAATTTAATTGGTTGTTTAATTTCAAATGAATTTGAAAACTATGCAATAAAAGAAACATTGAGAATTTCACCTCAGAAGTTTTAAAAATAAGCTTTGTATAAAAAAAATTAAATAAATTAATAAAAAAAAAGGTTTCTTTTTAAATCCGAAACATGCACACACAAATGACACTGAAAAAATGATTTCTGCAAAATTGTTGCAAACTATTTATTTGGGCTGAATTTAAATAAACTAAATTAAATTTAGTAATGTTCAACTTCATTTGCTTGTTTAAATTCAGCCCAAATATATTGTTTACAACCACTTACCTTACAAACATTTTGTAAATCTAATGAATCATCTTTGAATCATTTTTTTTCTGTGCATGTCACATTCAAAAACTAAAGAAAAAAAAAAAAATTCATTTGAATTTTTGAAAACTACACCGAAACAATCATTTAAATCTAAAAAAAAGTTTGCAATTTAAATTTATAGTTTAAAAAAAAATTTAAATAAAATGGCATAATTGAAAACAAACAAACAAAAACATCCTTTTAAATTTGAAAAATTTACAGAAAACTAATATATATATATATATATATATATATATATATATATATATATATATATATATATATATATAGTTTTATTTAAAATTGAAAACCATGCAATAAGAAAACTTTAAATGAAAAGCTTAAAAATAAGTTTTGATATTTGAAAACTGCAAATAACAAAAAAAATAAATAAAAAGTTCCTTATTTAAATTTGAAAACTGCACACACAAATTAAACATTTCTCATTTGAATCTGAAAAGGAAGTCTCTCGTTTATGGAAAACAAATAATTTGAATATGAACTCAAATTTTGAAAAAATAGGCTTCTTTGCATACAGAAAAAATAAACGTGCTGGTTTAAATTTGAAAAAGCACACGAAAATAAACTAAATGCGCTTTAAAAATTTAGATTTCATGCGTTTTTGAAAAATAAAATGTGATCTTTGCAAACCATAGATGGGGGTGAGGATTGTTGCTCATTAAAAAAAAAAATTTAATTAATTTGCAACCCACACACACACACCACACAATTTTTTTTAAACCACCGATTTACAAAAAAAAAAAATAAAAAAAAAATAAAAAAAATATTTATTCATTTATTTAATTAAATATAAATATAAATATAAATAACTAAAAGCAAACAATTGTTTCTTGTTTGAATTTTAGAAAAAAATGTTTTTATTTTATTTTTTATTTTAATAAGAACCATTTAAATGAATAAATACATAATAAAATAAAAACTTCAATACAAGTATATAAAAAAAGCAAAATAGAAGTAATAAGTATCTAATTTGAATTTTTAAAAACTCATTACAAATTTTGAAAAATACAAAAATAATTATTATTTGGACTTTTGAAAACTCAAACGTTGGTTGGTTTTTCCAAAACCACATATACTTTAAGATTCACAGAACTTAAAGCAAACAAACAAATTCTTATTTATTTAACTACACACAACGTTTTTTCACAATTTCACACTCAATTGTTTTCTTTGTTAATTTTAGATGTGCTTTCCCAGCTGACATCTGAAAAGTGCATCTCTGCAGTTTTAAACACTGTTATCTGATTTTACTGCTGTATTTCATGCGTCACACTGATATCAGCTAATCCTCACTCTGACTAAACCTGGAAACATCCTGCAACATGTAGATTGACACATTTCGGATGCATCTACATACAGTGCAGTGTTTGTTTTATACAGTGATTTTATTCGCTGTGATTTTTTTAATATTCGTTTAAATAAATTATAATTGTACAAACAGAAAGACTCCGATTATTTAGACCGTAATACAAATTATATTCATCACTAATTTCTCATCACCACCACAAAAAAAAAAATTAATGAATAAATAAAATGGAAACACAAATAAATAAATGCCACAAAAACACATCAATAAATTAAAAAGGAAAATGAAATGCAAATAAAATATATATTTTTTTTTAAATTAATAAATAATAATGTAAAAACTAATTATTAAATAAAATATGGAAATAAATACCACAAAATACAATTAAAAATAAAGGAAAAAGGAAATACAATTAAAAAAAATGTAAAAAATAAATTAAACTAAAATAAATAAATATGGAAATACAAATACCAAAAACCGTATCAATTAAGAAAAAATAAACAAACAAATAAAAAAATAACTAAATGAAAAAAATGAAAAGCTAACAGACAAAAAAATACATACAAAAAAAAAAAAAAAGTAAATAAACCACATGAATAAACATACCAATAAATTTATAAATAAACAGTATTTCAGAACGGATTAATAAAATATATTTAAAAAAATGTATATATATTTTACATCAAAAACCCACATTGTAATTTTAAAATCAACAAATCAAAACTCAGCTTCACTCACTGAGATCAGATCAAATTGACCTTTTTAAACAGTTCAAAAGCTCCTGAAGGAATTCTGTCACTCTGCATTAGAGAGGAGTGCATCTAGTTCTTCATCAAAAACAGCAGAATATAATATATAAAATGTCAGATTCTCACCAGCACCAGCATATTAGGGATGGTGACCACATCAGACTCGTCGCCCACAGACATGCTCTCCTCAAAGAAATACTGACGATACTCCTTATATGACACCGTGTGGTTTTCATGAAACGTGATGTTGTCCTTCCAGCGATTTTCTCTGAAAAACGGTGAGAAAATGTGCTTTAGGAAAATAATAATAATAATAATAATAATGATAAACAGCTGCAAGCAGCGATTACCGGGGGGTCAAGCATTTTAGCAAGGTAAGGTTATATAGCAGTTAGGAAGTCTGTAAGTAGTTTATTCGACAATAATAATAATAATAAAATAATAATAATAATAAAGTAGCTGCTAACTTATATTTAAGATATTTCTACAAAAAAATAATTTAAAAATAAAATAAAAAAACTGTCCTAAAGTTTGGACAGCACAATGGTATTCAGTTTAAATTGCAAATTTAATTCACATTGAACCAACATTTAGACGAATTTACATTTTTATTAATTTAATTGTAAATAGAATTTATGTAAATGAGTATGTAAATTCTGCAGGACAGATGTGTGGCCCTTAGACTTTACACAGACATTTTTTTTTTAAATCATACTTTGCAAAATCAAATTAATACAAGTTATTGAAGCTATATTAAAAAAACTGCCGTAAACTGATTTAATCTCAACTAAAACTTTTATTGCCAGAATTATTTTTAATGTCATTTAACAATTTTTCCAATTTAAATTACTTTATTGCAATTGAATTTTATGCAAAAACCTTGCTTAATGACAAAGGAATTCCCAAATAGTAAGAAATAATTTATTTAATTATTTTTTAGTTTTTTTTTTTTTTTTTTTTTTACTTTTAATAGATAGAATAGTGCAGAGAATTGACAGGAAATAGTTGGGAGCAGAAAGAGGGGAAGACTCGGCAAAGAACCGTGAGCCGGGAATCAAACTCAGGTTGCTGTGAGCACCATAGTGCTATACGTCGGCTCGCTTAACCACTAGGCTTAGTACCAACGTAAGAAATGTTTTTAATTGTTTTATTTTTTGTTTTTTTAAATACACAATAAATGAATTAAAAAAAAATTTAAACTAATGCAAATACATTTTCCATAAATACAATTTGGCCAATTTTGCATATTCCTCAAATTATAATAATACTAAGAAAAATATTAAACCACAACAAATAATAATAATTAAATGAAACTAAATATAAAAACACCTTGAACAGCAACTACAATTATTTTCTTTGTTCTCCATTTCCACCTGAATATACTCTCATATATATATAAAAATGCCAACTTAAAACAATTTCCACAAATAAATCTGACCGATTACTCCCCCTTCCCCATTAGCCAATCACTCTCCACAGTTAATGAGCATAATGTCAATCACCCATAGCAAAAAGCTCAGCTCTGACACGCTTGTATTCAAACTTCTCTATAATCCCCAGTAAAGTTTCTCTCTGCAGCTTTATGAAACTTTTACAGTAATTTAGAGAAACCCTCGATAAGTGTTTTCAATACAAGCGCAGAACAGAGGCTAAATTATCCTGGCACTGCAAAAATTCAGCTTTTGAGGAACAGCTTCAGTCAGCGTGTTAAAGTCACACGCAAACACTGACAGACTCCTCTCAGATTGTGAAATGTAAACGCATGATTTGTTTAAAGGTGAACCGCAGCCACAAACACGTCATGAGTCTCGTGTAAGAGGAGGAAACCACACAACCGTGATGGAGGAAACCAATGAACATTTAACAACCACAGTAAACCACTAAAATCACCAGGCCAAAAACAACTGTCCAGCTATAAACACTTCAACATAACACGCATGCATAAACACAGCAGCAGTGTAAACCACTGCTGATACAATAAACACTCTGCCAACAAAATGCAAATGATTAAATGTGATATGCAACATGAAAAAGTGGATCTGCAATATCACATCGCAAGATCGGCAATGTTGAGTCAGAATTATAGTTGATCAGGGGCCTGTTTCAGAAAGGAGGTTAAGTGAAAACTCAGAGTATTTTAACCCTGAAATGAGAGAAACTCTGGGTTTTCCGTTTCAAAATGGCAGGTTTGTTAAACTCGAGAAATCAGGGTAAGTCAAGCCTGTTTCTGAAAGAAAGGTAACTTTAACTCAGAGTCAGTTACTGTGGTAACTCTGTGAATCTAACCTGGTCCGGAGCAGGTTTTATTCTCTAAACTCTGAGTTTCTGTCGGTCTCCTCCCCTTTTTTACAGATGAAGCGTATTTCTCGCCTGAGCCTTACGTCTCCACACACCTATTTTAGAGCTCATTTTGGAGATGGCTATAAAACGATTGATGGAAACGTCATGATTCACATAACTTTTGAAAATACGCATAATAAAACATGTGCATAACTGAGTAGGTTAAACTTTTATTTGATAAGATGCGTATAAACTACGAAGTGCACTTAACAAATTACAGTATGTACATTAAAAAAGTTTGTTTGAGATGATGAAAATGTGTGTGAATGGACAAACCAGCAGACTGAGCACACTGCAGAACATCTTAAATGTTGTTTTAGTCATTCTAAAATGCCTGAACTGTTTCAGTATTAGTGTATTTATTAATTACCTCCAAGCGTCTGGAGCGTGTCAAGATCTCCGCGTCTGGCTTCAAACGCCCCCACGTGTTCATTGTGTGTCAATTGTCTTCTGAGTCGCAAGTATTAAATAAATCATTGACGCAGCTTGTTCTACCGCAGTAATTTCTGTTTTTACTGTTGATATTTGCCGCAAGTTAATCAGGAAGTGACGATTGTGTTCTCTGACTTGTTGGATAAAAACGCTGCTTTATTCGCATCTTTTAGGCGTTATTCCAGTTTTGCACAAATTTATGTAATAGCCTGTATTTTGATGGAAACACAGCTATTGCCTACATTTGTCACACACAGAACAAATTCACGTACGAGGCTCGTCCTTTTTTCCATAAATATTTTGCTTAACCTTCGACATGTACCGTTACTAGATTAATGGGATTATTATTCTGTCTAAAAATTATTTTTAGCACTGCTTATTGTTATATCAACCTCTATTACTTGATCAATAAAAAGGCAGACACACAAGTGCACTGTTAAATCTATTAAAGCTGATAAACGTGTGTAAAAGTTTAGAAAAAAAGTATAAACGTCACACATTACATTACTTATTTTATTATACTTAAATGTTTAAATACTTTAAATTAAAAATTACGCATTAACTTGAGCAGCTGTTTTCCCATGCTAACTGTCTCTGTTTCACTGATGGTTGCTTCTTTTTAAATATATACGCTCATATTTGCTATAACTTTGCATGAGCTGGAGAAAGAAATGCTGATCTCTTTTTTTAAGATGTTGCTATAGTCACTCGTAATGTCTGCGCTCCATTGATAATGCCTTTTATAGTCACGGTGTGCGCGCTTAACTCTGAGTTGGTCTACTCAAAGTTGATTGACCTAACTCAGATCAGCTATTCTGAAACCGAAAACTCAGAGTTTTTAATCTCTCGGTAAATCAACTCTGAGTTCAAGTTTAAACTCAGTTGTTTGAACCTCCTTACTGAAACAGGCCCCAGGAGATACCGAAACCGTGATTTGTAGAGTCGCTGCTAGTTTTAACCATAATAGAGTGAGTTTGCCATTTGCATGTGTTTTTAAGGTTTATGACTGAGCATTTTAGCATAGTTTAAAACATTTGGGCAAATGATTTGTATTTATTTTTATACATGAAAAAAAGCTTCTTACTTAAAATAATCTAGTTTTTCCCTTTGAGATGTAGATATTTGGACACATTCTATTTACTCTATTGGCAGACGATTTAGATTGTTTTTAAAGGAGCTCTTAAATGTTTATTTAATTCTTCTAAACATAAAAACTAAATGTTTTTACTTGATCGAAGAATTTAGATCTGATATTTCGATTAGAAACAAGACAAAGTAAAACATTTTTGCATTGCGATCACGCAATTTCTGTACCTGAATACTGTTAGACTCCCCTGAAAACTTAATTACTGCTATTCAAACCATCTTGTGAAGTTACATGTCGCAATATTACAAACAAATAAAATAATCGAAATATCTTATTTTTCCAATATATGTAACAAATACAAACTTTATTAATCCCAATTAATCTTTTGACAGCACTAAACATTATTTGCATTTACAAATACCTCAATTAGAGACTGAAAACTATTAACTTAAAATCTAAAACTAAAAACAATAACTAAAATAAACCATCTAAAATGTTGTGCTTCTCAATAAAACAAAATTGACAAACAATAATAATAATAATAATAAATTATTATTATTATTTTAATTATTATTACATTTTTTAAAAAGTAGATGCATATAATTCTCAGGGAAAGGTATGAAATATCAATTCTGATTTGCAAGAAATTGCAAAAAATTCTTCTGCATTGTTGTTCAGTCTGACTTTATGATGCCTGAGATCTTACAGTGTAACATGGGAGCCATGTTTGTGCAGTCTGTCTGACATGCTACAATTATTCAGGATTATTTATTTTTTTTAAAATACAAAAATAAACGCAAACTCTGAACTACAAAATAATGAAGTCAGAAATTGCATAAACTCAGAACTGCAAAAATAAAAACCTTGAAATGCTAGAAACAAACTATTAATAAGATAAATTCAAATTTGCAAAAAAAAAAAAAAAAAAAAAAAAAAACACTAGTATACTGTATACAAACATCAAAATGCAATATCAAAAATCTAAACTCTGGGAATAGATTTGAGATATAAAAATATAGTCAATTGCAAGAAAAACAAATTCAACTGCAAGAAAACAACTGCAATTTCAGAGAAATTAGTGAATGTGAGACATTCTTTAAAAAATAAAAATAATAATAAATCAACTTATTTTTTCCTGTGAATGGTCATGATTTCAAGGCAAAAGCCGCTGTTAACTGCTTTATTTATTCATTTTGATTTCAACTATTCTGAATTGGTATTCAATAAACAATAAAGTAAAAAAGTAATAAAATACACAAAATAAAATAAAATAAAAAAATAAATAGAGTAAAAATAAATAAATAAAAATAAATAAAATAATTAAATAAAAAATAAAAAGTAAATTGCTATATGCTGGTAAAACTATATTTTTGCAATAGCAAAAATCTAAATTCTAAGAATAAACTCAGAATAGATTTTAGATATAATGATGTAGTCATAATTAGGAAAAAGTTGCAATTTCTACGAAACAAAAAGTATAAATGTGAGAAATTCTGAACTCCAAAAAAACAATATAAACTAATTTTTTTCATGATTATTGTCATGATTACAAGACAAAAGCCACCGTTATCTTTTATTTACACTGTGCTGGAAACTGCATTTGCTAAGATCTATTGATTCGTGCTGCCTTTCTTTGAGTTGTCAATGCAGTTTAACAGAAAAGCAAGCAATCGGGGCTCTTACCGGTACACGTACGGCCCTCTCTGGATCACCATGGGCCTTTCTCCTTTCAGGATCTCATCAGGATTGACGATGTGGAAAAAATAAACAGACATGAAGAAAGGAACCGGGATGTCCTTCCACATGGTGTAGGAGAGATCGTTTTTGGGATTGATCTCCACATTCTGCAAACATACAGGCACTGATTAGTTATAATCCAGTCTACTTTAAAGGAATAGTTCACCCAAAAATGTCCTCTATAGGGCTGAACAATATATGGATTCTGCATTGATATCACAATGTGTGCATCTGCAATAGAAACATAACAGGATATGCAATGTTGATTTGGGATTATACAGTAGTTGATGAGCACAACGGTTGAGAATACATGAGATTTGTGGAGTTATTGCAAAGAATAACCATAAGAGTCTAACTTTATTTTTTGCATGTTTTAAAGGCTTATTAAGAGAGTTTAAAGCACTCAGGCACAAAAAAAGTAAAACATTTGGAATTTTAATGAAGAATTATTGTACTAAATTAATAAAAAATGTTTTTTTTTTTTTTTTACAAGCTTTAACAAAACGTTTTGTACAATCAAGGTTGTAATTCTTTCCATATAGTGACCCTTGCTCCTAAATTAATTAATTAAATTAAAACAAAACTGCATAAGACATAGAAATATATAAAAATATAATATAATAAAATATAATAATAATAATAAATAAAAATATAATAAAAAATATTATAATAAATAATATTATTATAAATAATATAATAAAATATATAAAAATATAATAAAAGGAAAAAGGAAAAAAAATTACATTATTGTACACATTTATAATTATACAATACCAATTATAAAAATAACTAAAATAAATAAATACCTACATGATAAAACAAAATCAATGACATATTTGTAGTAGTTTTCTACACATTTATGAAACCAAATATTATCGCTGATCACAATTAAACCTGTTAGCACAGATTTATTTTTAAACATCAGTTAAAGAGGAGCCTTTTTTTATATGTAATAATGGGTGTCAAATTAATACAATAAAACTATACGATGTTATTCTATTTACATTTCATTTTCTGCACCTCAATACTGTTTGACACTCTGAAAACCCATAAAGTGATGTTTATTTTACCTTTCTTGTTGCTCTATTGCATATATTTTTGCATGCAATTTGTTAATTATATTTATCATTTATACATGGATTCACAACCTTACAAAAAAATAATAATAATAATAAAATGACCCCAATCAATCTAAATGAATGATTATTTCCAAATTGATAGATCAAACCATCTGTTGAAAATGAACTCATTCATTGTTGCTCTTATAGTTGTGCAAATTGCTTCCTAATTTGTAAGTCGCTTTGGATAAAAGCGTCTGCTAAATGACTAAATGTAAATGTACTCATAATGCAATATATCACAATGTCAGATTTTTCCAATATTGTGCAGCCCTATAAGTTTTCATTTAGTGCACTTTAAATGGATAGTTCATCCAACTAATGAGATGCATAGGGCTGAACAATATCATTTCTGCATCGATATCGCAATGTGCAGGACCTCAATCGTCACACGGCAAGATATGCAACGTTGAGTCTGAACTGGAAAAATCCAACACTGATTTTTTTTATGCTGCAATATGAATACAATTTCACCAGATGACATGAATACATCTTTATTTTGTTGATTATGTAGAGGAGTGCATCTGCATAAACTATAATTAACAAATCAAAAGCATAGATATAAACAACATAGAAAACAATATAACCCTGTTTACCTCAATTGTTGATTTTTCTGAGTCAGTATTCAGGTACAGTGATTGAATAATAATAATAATGCAATAAAATTGATTGTTATTAAAAGTTACTAAAGGTACCATATCTTAGACCTAAATGCTGTTTAAATCCTCAGTCACAGGCCTCAAAAACACATGCAATTGATAAATAAAGACTGAACATTGCAAATCCTGCAATGTGACTATTGCGAATGATTGCATATGCTGAACTGATGTATTGTGCAGCCCGAGTGTGAATTATAGTCGAGCAGGAGTTACAGAATTGTATTTAAATAAATGTATTTATTTGGAATTTATACAATTTATGCAAATAAAATAAAAAATCTTAGAATTTGTCTCGTTTCTAGTGCAAATATTTACATTTCAAAGCAAACACAAGATTATTTCACTTGCCGCAAGATTGTTTTTTACTTGTTAAGGAAAGAATTGAAAGGAAAAGTGGAAAACAAAAACACCACTTTTACTCGATCTAAGAACTTTTAGATATTTGGACTAGAAATAAGACAAAGCAAACACTTTGTATTGGGATTAATCAATTTCTGTACTAACTTTAATATTGTTAGACTCTATACAAAATTATCAAACAGCGCTACTCAAATAATGGGATGTAGATTTATAGGATAGTTTAAGTTGCAGAAAATTAAAATAAAGACAGCATCAGATTTTTCCAACAGCCCTGGTCTTTTTAATCTACTCCCCCACAGCTCATCTAAGATCACTTATTTCTTCAGTAGATCCTTAAAGCGAATTGAGCCAATTCTGTGGCTCTTGGCGCTTCATATAATGGCAGTGAATGGTGACAGGTTTCATTCATTTTCTTGTCGGCTTAGTCCTTTTATTAATCCAAGGTCGCCACAGCGGAATGAACCGCCAACTTATCCAGCAAGTTTTTACGCAGCGGATGCCCTTCCAGCCGCAACCCATCTCTGGGAAACATCCACACACACATTTACGTACACACTCATAAACTACGGATAATTTAGCCTACCCAATTAATCGGTGACAGGGTTATTAGAAAAAAAAAATAAACATACAAAAGAGTCCAAAAGTCAATAGTCATGACTCCTAATGACACGCTGAGGCCGTGAAGTAAAACAATGGGAAAAATTAACATTTACAATCTTTTTAGTGCAACCTTGTGATTTTATTATTTAAGCGACTGGACTATATATTGCACATATGCAGAGAAGAGTCCAGGGTGTGGAATAAAGCTGATAATATTGTAAACAATGTTCAATTTCTTACACCGAGCGATCATTTTGCTTCGCAAGAGCTCAGTGTGTCGTCAGGAGCCACAGCTACTGATTTAGACTCATTTGTGTTTATTTTTAATCCAACTAAAGATTAATTTAACCAAAGACCAATGATTTAGCTCAAAATCTGCTTTAATTATCTACTAAAGATGAAAAGTCACTTGGATCTTAAATGAGCAGTGGGTGATTAACATGATTAAAAGATGATTCTCTTTTTTTGGGGTGAACTACACCTTTAATAGATCAACCTATTTTTTTAAAGGGACAGTTCACCATAAATGAAAAGGGCCTCATTATTTACTCGCACTTAAATGCATTTATTCCTTCCACTAAATGCAAAACAAGGATATTCTAAAGAATGTTGGAAAGATGCAGTCATCCATACGGAAAAAAAATACTATGGAAGTCAATAGCTCCAGCACTTTCCTAAGATAAGAAGAAATCAAACAGGCTTGGAGAAAATAGAGGATGAGGAAATTATATAATTTATTTACATTAAGGGATTATAAAACTAGGAGTTTTTTTTTTACTCAGATTAATGGCTGATAAAGACTCTATTTGAACACTTAATGAGCCATAAATCTGCATTTATTTACTTTTTAATGTAGTTCATACAAGCAAACAAATGTACATTTAAATATGGCTTGTAAGACTTTTCGTTAACTAAGGCTGTACTTATTTGATAAAATACTACAAAATGTGTGACAATATTATTGCTACTTAAAACTACTATGTATATATATATATTAAAGTGTAACTTATAGCTGTGATGTAACGATAATCTTTTAAATGTCTTCAGTGTCACATGATCCTAATGATCATTAGTGTTAAAACTAACATTTTAGTGCACACCATGACATTTTCTCATTCAGGATTCATTAATAAACAAAGTTTAATTAAAAGCATATATTAGCAAAAAGAAATATTTTGTAACATTATAAATATCATAAAAAATTTCAACTTTGATCAATTTAATGAATCTGTGATAAATAAATGTAAGGTCTTGACTCCATTAATTTAAAAAAAATTGAAGTTAAAAACAAGCATCAATCACGTTTGACAAACTACAAATGTCTAACCTTAGTTTAGATTTGCAGTAGGTTGATTTAGCTTGTTTTGACGCAAAAGAAAATCTACCTTGTTAAAAACAAAGAATTGTCTAAAGTGACATTTAAATTTTTTTTTAAAAAAATAAACGTAATTTACCAGCTATTAACCTTTTCATTATATATCAAATGAAACTTCTAAACCTAATTATAGGAGCCTGATAGAAAATGCTCATTTACAAAAAAAAAAAAGAGGTCTGAATGATTTGGAGCGTTTTGCATCTGAACTCTTCTTATACACATTTAAATAGGGTTTGGAAGAGTTTGTTAACCAAGGCTGTATTTAAGAAAATATTACAAACAATGTGAAATGATCATTACTACTAAAACAGCCATGTAAACGTATAGTAAAGTGTCATTTATAGCTATGATGCGTGTAACATTTTTAAGTCTTTAGTGTCACCTGATCCATCAGAAACCATTTTAATGCGATCAAGAAGCATTGATGACTATTATCAGTGCTGAAAACAACATTTCTGTGCACACCATGACACATTTTCTCATTCAGGATTTATTAATGAATATTAATTTCAATTTTAAAAAGCATTCATTTAAAACAGAACTACTTTACAACATTATAAATGTCTTAATTTTCACTTTTGATCAATTTAATGCATCCTTCATAGATAAATGTAACGTCTTGACTCCAAAAACGACGAAAAAATGTTAAAATTTGTGTTAAAAACAAACGTGTCTATCACGTTTGACAAACTAACTACTACAAATGTCTAACATCAGTTTGGATTTCAGATAATAAATTATGTTAGCGTTACTACACCAGTAAATGCATTATTTGTACCATTTAACCACTTTAAACGCACGAGGCGACAACAGAAAGTCAAATCAAGCTCATTTTAACACTTTTCATCTCTAAAATCTCATGTTTTCGCCTCTCGTTGTCATTTATAAACACTAAAGATGCTTGAAGCGGCTGTCGGATGCTAAACTCACCTTCACTATTTGATCATCAATTATGATCGGTCCCACAAACACCAGGACAGTCCCGAACAACAACGCCATGCCTCCCAGAACTAAAAACACGATCGATACTGTCGTTTGAGACACCATCCTTATTTCTCACACTTCAAAATAAACGCAGAAGTTCTGAAGGAAATAAATAAAGTGATTTCTTCTGGAAAGCGCGGCGAGCTCCAAACGCGAGAGAGACCGTCTCAACAGCTGAACAAACTATCATTTACGCGAGATAAAGCCATAAAAGCCGGCTCATTGAGGTAATTAATGCTCTTATAGCTTTACGGTCATGAAGTGCACAGCTGTGAGCGATGTTAAAGTCCGTCTCTGTGTTCGAGCAGCTTTTATAGCCGTCCAGCAGCGTGATCGTCATGTTTATGATTAGCAAAGCGCGCCGCCTCTAAAGCACAGACTTCTGGGTAATGTAGTTTCATACGTGACTCGCGTCATAGGTTAATAAGCGACTTTCTGGATAGACTAACGCATTAATTCGCGGTTTTACATTTATAATATGACCATCTATCAAAGATGAGACATCCCATTGAGGAGTCCGCATCAAATTTAATTTGTGAAAGTGATTACATAGAGAGAGCTATGGGGAAAAACTAAGAGATTGTTTCAAAATTCGTAATTTTCCCTGGATTTATTATTTATAGTTGTCTGTTTGAGTGAAATGTAATATTACTTTTATTCTGTAAAATATTAATGACACTTTCAACCAAATAAACAACAATAGTATTGTCATTTAGAGGTAATATTTAGCAGAAGGTAACAATAAAGTGCACTGTTTACAGATATGTTCATATTTTTAGAAAACATAGTGACAATGTTAAACTTCAGGTAAGTTTGAAAATCAATATTAGGTGCAATAACCCATTATTTTCAATAACACCAAAGGAAAACATTGGTTATTCCATTTGTATGGAGCTGTACATAGAAAGCATTAAATGCAAGTAAAGCATCTACATTAATTTTTCAAATAACTTTTATGAAAAATAAACAAACTAATAAATAAACAAATAGATAAATAAATAAATAGATAAATAAATAAATAAACAAATAAATAAATAAATAAAGCATGAAATGCACTGCTGTTCTAACATCATTCAGCTCAATGGATATATTTACTTAAAATTGACATTTATTAAATAAATTAAAGAATTATAAATATTTTGGGGCCAAACTGTGATTCTTAAATGAAGTATTTTAATATTTCATGGGATGATTCTTGTCCAAAATTCCTCACAAGATTTTGACATAAATATTGGCATTTAGGACATTTATAGAGAATTAATCATTCACTTTATTGGTGTCAAAAAATGCTGCGCAAAAGTTGTTTAGATTTTTTTTGTCTAACCGTTGTTCAACCCTGTATTTTTAAGTCTATTCTAAAATAAATCTGCATAATTTATTATATTTTTATATGCATTTACAACATGTTTGATTGATAATTATGCATATGGTCACAGTTAATTTGATTTTAATGATTTTCTTTATTTGTCATTGAAATCATGGTGTAGACAAAGCAAACGACGCATGCATGCAGGGTCATAAATGATCAAACAGAACATGATAAGTGTGCTTTATCTTTATTGGAAAAGTACTTGCCTCTGATAACTCATATGTAACGCAATGCCTTATCTTGAGCCTTGACACACATTTTACTTTATGCAAGAAAAGTTATGATTCAGTACTTCACATTTACATTTTGGTGAGCAAATAATAGTTAATATATGAAGTGGATTTAAACCTTTCATCAAAGTTGTCCTAAATCTATTGAACAACTATCATGTTTGTTTTAGGACAGTTTTGATAAGACAAAGATTTTAATAATTACATAATACACTCACCGGCCACTTTATTAGGTACACCTGCCCAAGTGCTCATTAACGCAAATTTCTAATCAGCCAGTCATATGGCAGCAGCTCAATGCATTTAGGCATGTAGACATGGTCAAGACGATCTGCTGCAGTTCAAAGCGTGCATCAGGCAGGATGGGCTACAGCAGCAGAAGAGCACACCGGGTGCCGCTCCTGTCAGCTAAGAACAGGAAACTGAGGCTACAATTCACACAGACTCACCAAAACTGGACAATAGAAGATTGGAGAAACGTTGCTGCTCTGATGAGTCTCCATTTCTGCTGACACATTCGGATGGTCGGGGCAGAATTTGGCCTCAACAACATGAAAGCATGGATCCATCCTGCCTTGTATCAGCGGTTCAGGCTGGTGGTGGTGGTGTAATGGTGTGGGGGAGATTTTCTTTGGGTCCATTAGTACCAATTGAGCATCAACGCCACAGCCTACCTGAGTATTGCTGCTGACCATGTCCATCCCTTTATGAGCACAGTGTCTCCATCTTCTGATGGCTACTTCCAGCAGGATAACGCAGCATGTCATAAAGCTCAATCATCTCAGACTGCTTTCTTGACCATGACGATGAGTTCACTGTACTCAAATGGCCTCCACAGTCACCAGAGCTCAATCCAATAGAGCAGCTTTGGGATGTGGTGGAACGGGAGATTGGCATCATGGATGTGCAGCCGACAAATCTGCAGCAACTGTGTGATGCTATCATGTCAATATGGAGCAAAATCTCTGAGCAATATTTCTAGTATCTTGTTGAATCTCTGCCATGAAGGATTAAAGCAGTTGTGAAGGCAAAAGGGGTCCAACCAGGTACTAGTAAGGTGTACCTAATAAAGTGGCCGGTGAGTATACATACAGTATTTAGTATTTACAACATAGATTGTTAATGAGTGATAGGAAATTTAATATTGAACAGACAAATGTACTAAATACTTATAGTTTATACTACAGTTGACATAATATACCCTAAAGTTGTTGTGTTATCAGAGTAACTATAAAATCACCACACCAGACAAGTGCTTCACTGTAGTTTTATGAGATTCTCTTGGAGTGGCGTCAATGAAATATAAAACTAACCAAAAACCTTCACCCTTTTGACGCTGTTCACAAAATGTCAGTCAGGGTGAAGCCAAATCAACATCAAAAGAGCTTTTTAAAGCGGTTATTCATGTGATTTTTGTTCCAAACCCAAGACAAATCCACACTGAAGATCCAGCGTAGAGCACAAGAAAATCAGCTCAACCTTTCAGGGCATGACAAATACAATCAGGCGCAAATTATGAATGATATTTTCTGGTGCGTAAAGATTTATCTCTGGACTCTGTGAATGAAATGTGTAAAAGATGTTCTTTCATTCTGTGAACACATGACACTGATGCAGCAGAGCACTAAAACTGGTCATCTTCAGTATTATACAACAAACTATGCTAATCAGAGAAGTCTTTCTTTTTAATTAAACGTAAAAGTAATCTCACAGGATATTTACAGCACATCTGTCTAAACCAGTGGTTCTAAAACTTTTTTCATCAAGTACCACCTCAGAAAAAAATTGTCTCTCCTAGTACCACCAAATGACCAGTATTGAAATACAATAGCGTATTAGGCCCAGTAAAGCAGCTACAACTCTGCACAGTTAAAACAAACGTGCCAAATTACCTCAGAAATATAGGCTACATGTCATATATGGCATATTATTTACATAATTTTTGATACATTTTTAAATGTGTATAGCATGTACATGACATCTTTCATTCCTCCGCGTACCACTAGAACAGGGGTGGCCAACCCTGTTCCTGGAGAGCCACCTTCCTGCAGATTTTAGTTGCAACCCATATCAAACACAACTGCCTGTAATTATCACGTGGTGTTCAGGTCCTAATTAATTGGTTCAGGTGTGTTTGATATGGGTAGCAAGTGAAATCTCTAGGAAGGTGGCTCTCCAGGAACAGAGTTGGCCACCCCTGCACTAGAAGGAAGCCTGTGTACCACTAGTGGTACACGTACCACAGTTTGAGAACCACTGGTCTAAACAGTGCGTTCTTACACACAAAACATGTAAGTGTCCACTATTATGAAATTCTTAGTAATTAGTTGATGCTCAAACTTTAAAAGTACCTAATAAAGTGGCCTGTGAGTGTAAATGCAGTATTTATTTACAACATACAGATTAATGAGCGATAGAAAATTAAATATTGAACCGATAAGTGTACTAAATACTAATCGTTAAAATAAACTAGTTTTTACTGCAGCAAACTGTGGCGTATTGTAATATTAAATACTATTTAATAATGCTATTCAGAGAAGTTTGTTTATTTTTAATTAAAAGTACAGGTAATCTTAACACAGGATATTCATTCAGTCATTTTCTTGTCAGCTTAGTCCCTTTATTAATCTGGAGTCACCACAGCGGAATGAACCGCCAACTTATCCAGCATGTTTTTACGCAGCGGATGCCCTTCCAGCCGCAACCCATCTCTGGGAAACATCCACACACACATGCACTGCGGACAATTTAGCCAACCCAGTTCACCTGTACCGCATGTGTTTGGACTGTGGGGGAAACCGGAGCACCCGGAGGAAACCCACGCGAACGCAGGATATTTACAGCCCATTTATAATTAATGCATTCTTCACAAAAAACACGTAGAATTCCACTTTATTAGTTGGTTAACTTTAAAATGTTTATATATCAGCATTTTTGCTGTGCATATCTTGCTTATTAAGCAGTGCAGCAATATTTTAACTTAAATATTTTATATATTGATGAGCATGGCCATGGCTTTTAAACCATTTTCCAGGAATATTCTTCACTGCATTAAAAAATATTTAGAAATTAAAGGTCATTGATTTTGCACTTATTTTCCGATCAGTCATCATGTGACTGCGTGGTCAGAAAAGATGACAAACTCAACTCAAAATTGAGCATTGACATTATCCACAGTGGCAAAACTTTAGCAAGACTCTGATGACATCTTGTGGATGGTTTATTAATCACATCTGACAGTGAAATTGTCGACATTATGTTTGCCATATTAATTTCAGATTTGATTGATCTTTTTAGGCTCAAATAGTGAATGAAATGCAGATTTTAGCCAATTAAAGTTTTAAAAAGCTACATGGACACAGCAAACAATTTGGCCGTATAAATTACAATTTTATAGTAATTTAATTAAAAAAATTTAACCAATTAGCAGAAATGGGTCACCACAGAATAAATTTACTCTTTAAGATGTTACAAACCTTTCAGTTTCAACATAAGCTGAAACCATCGACTTCCACTGTATAAAAATCTAATATAGAAATCAAGATTCAGTTTTCAGCATTTTAAATGTCTTAAGTATTCAATAGAAGGCCAAAGGTTTAAAAGTTGAGTGACTAAAATTATTTTTTGGGGGGAGTCATCATATTTGTATACTTTAATTCTGATAAAAAAAAAATAACAGCTTGATTACATTATGGTGCATTAGTCAATATTCATGTGCATGTGTGCATCTATCAACCATAATCAAGCAGAAGTAAAAACAAACAAAATAAATTCTGGAATGCAAGAACTTTATTGAATGATTAAGAGGAATAAAGGAAACTGGAATTGGTCTGATAATTCAAGACTTGTATATATTAATGATTAATCATAAGCAGATTATTTGCCGCCACGAAGACGCAGCACCAGGTGGAGGGTGGACTCCTTCTGGATGTTGTAGTCGGACAGAGTGCGTCCATCTTCAAGCTGCTTGCCAGCGAAGATCAGACGCTGCTGGTCAGGTGGGATGCCCTCCTTATCCTGGATTTTGGCCTTCACGTTCTCAATGGTGTCGCTTGGTTCCACCTCGAGTGTGATGGTCTTGCCAGTCAGCGTCTTGACGAAGATCTGCATGCCGCCCCTGAGGCGGAGCACCAGGTGGAGGGTGGACTCCTTCTGGATGTTGTAGTCGGACAGGGTGCGTCCATCTTCAAGCTGCTTGCCAGCGAAAATCAGACGCTGCTGGTCAGGTGGGATGCCCTCCTTGTCCTGGATTTTTGCCTTCACATTCTCAATGGTATCACTTGGTTCCACCTCAAGAGTGATGGTCTTGCCAGTTAAGGTCTTGACGAAGATCTGCATACCACCTCTCAGACGCAGCACAAGATGGAGGGTGGACTCCTTCTGGATGTTATAGTCGGACAGGGTGCGTCCATCTTCAAGCTGCTTGCCGGCAAAGATCAGACGCTGCTGGTCAGGTGGGATGCCCTCCTTATCTTGAATCTTGGCTTTCACGTTCTCAATGGTGTCACTGGGCTCGACCTCAAGAGTGATGGTCTTACCAGTCAGCGTCTTCACGAAGATCTGCATACCACCCCTGAGGCGGAGCACCAGGTGGAGGGTGGACTCCTTCTGGATGTTATAGTCAGACAGGGTGCGCCCATCTTCAAGCTGCTTGCCGGCAAAGATAAGACGCTGCTGGTCAGGTGGGATGCCCTCCTTATCTTGAATTTTAGCCTTGACGTTCTCAATGGTGTCGCTGGGCTCGACCTCCAAAGTGATGGTTTTTCCAGTCAGCGTCTTCACGAAGATCTGCATGCCGCCCCTGAGGCGGAGAACAAGATGGAGGGTGGACTCTTTCTGGATGTTGTAGTCGGACAGGGTGCGTCCATCTTCAAGCTGTTTGCCAGCAAAGATCAGACGCTGCTGGTCAGGTGGGATGCCCTCCTTATCTTGAATCTTGGCTTTCACGTTCTCAATGGTGTCACTGGGCTCGACCTCAAGAGTGATGGTTTTTCCTGTCAGAGTCTTGACGAAGATCTGCATACCGCCTCTCAGACGCAGCACCAGGTGGAGGGTGGACTCTTTCTGAATGTTGTAGTCGGACAGGGTGCGTCCATCTTCAAGCTGCTTGCCAGCAAAGATCAGACGCTGCTGGTCAGGTGGGATGCCCTCCTTATCTTGAATTTTAGCCTTGACGTTCTCAATGGTGTCGCTTGGTTCCACCTCTAGAGTGATGGTCTTGCCGGTCAGCGTCTTCACAAAGATCTGCATGCCACCCCTGAGGCGGAGCACCAGGTGGAGGGTGGACTCTTTCTGGATGTTGTAGTCGGACAGGGTGCGTCCATCCTCTAACTGTTTTCCAGCGAAGATCAGACGCTGCTGGTCAGGAGGAATGCCCTCCTTATCTTGAATTTTAGCCTTGACATTCTCAATGGTGTCGCTGGGCTCGACCTCGAGGGTGATGGTCTTACCAGTCAGCGTCTTCACAAAGATCTGCATCTTTACGCTGAGAAGAAAAAAAAATTAAGGTTAATTTTTTTTTTAAATGAATACAGATGAATTCAGGACAAAGACGAGCTTCAGAATTCTCTAGAAAGCTCTTCATCAATAATGAAAGCAAACAGGCCAGGTGAGAACAGTCATCACTAATGCTGACACAGCTGTGAGTAAGGGCGGAACAAACGGACGACTGAAAACAAAATGGCGACAGTTTACCACAGAAAATGGCCATTAAACAATAACACGGAGATGAAACGAACGTCGATAGTCGGAAAGTCAATTATATTTAACAAAGTTACACGCTGAAAAGAATAAAAGCATCATAGCGCATTTACAGTTGCCGAAAACCGTTTGTCAAGCAGATGAATTGAGAAGCTCACCGAACCACCGCCCTGTTTCGCGGTACAAAAAAACGCCGCCAAATTTCTAAACTCGAACAAAACCCAAAATTCTCGACGACGAATTATACCTTTATATTTTAAAGCAAAATAAATCAGAAAAAAACGTTGGTTTATTGATCCTCAAAACCAAACAGTCCGGCTAGCGTTAAAAGCTAATACGTTAGCTCATTCAGAAATACACCTTTAAATGAACCGGTTAACACTTTAATTGAAATAAAACATTGCTAGATTTAACAAACGACAAAACAAACGTCGATTGCTTATATTTAACATCATACTCACAAACAAATGTTCTTTTCTGTAAGAGTGCGGTGTATGGGAGTCTCTTTCCTCTCGTCTCAGGAGCGAATCTGAAAGCGCAAAAACAAAGAGCCGGCTTTTTATACTAAGAGCACTGTATCCTTCCGCCGTTGCGCCCAGCGCACTATTTTACCCACACCAGCGATTGTATTTGAACTTATGATTTGGTTTAATACAATTCACTCTGTTTTATATTGAGAAAATACAACAATACGTTTATTAAAATCATTTTGTGAAGGTATCACCGAGATATCCGTTTATCTGATGTGTTCGTGGGGCTTGAGGGGAGGCGGAGTGATATGTTGCACTGCACCGGGTTCTTGTGTTTAGATCAAAATAATATGACACAAATATGATCACAAACAACGCATAACACGATCTGTATGAAATACGTTTATTGAAATAGTGCACATTGAGGGGAAAGGGAATGTTCCGGCATAAGGAAAACATGAATAGGTCCATTTAATAAAAACTAGGTCAAGAAAACGGACACATAGCAACAGCGTCACCAAACGTCACAGATCTTTTCATTTCCCAAAACAAGACATAAAACTGCGGTGTTTTCAGGAAGTCCAGTGCAAATAAACGATGGTTCACTTCCTTTATGAAGAGAACAATTCTCTTTTGAGAGCACGAGGAAGTTAAAAAGGTATTTGCCCTTTAATGTAATTTTTCACATCAGTTTTCTGCATTACAACAACTCAGCATGTAAAATAATGTAAAAATCCATTAACACACAGTGAGTAAACAACAACACTGATTCTCAGGATGATCTCAGAAAGTCTTCCAATGTTTATCACACAAACCGAAAAACTCCAGAGCTGTAAACAAGCACATACTGCAATCAACCCAAACAGTAAATATTTTATTTTCATATATTCTAAATAAAAAAAATTATATGTTTTATCTGTGATGTTCATATATATATATATATATATATATATATATATATATATATATATATATATATATATATATATATATATATATATATATATAACCTAAATATATTTCAAAACATGAGATATTTCATACCTTCCAGTTGGCTACAATGTGTGTGATAAAGGTTTTTATTATTTAAAGATATTATATTAAATATTTAATGCAATTAAAACAAAACATTTCCCAGAGATGGGTTGCGGCTGGAAGGGCATCCGCTGCGTAAAAACTTGCTGGATAAGTTGGCGGTTCATTCCGCTGTGGCGACCCCGGATTAATAAAGGGACTAAGCCGACAAGAAAATGAATAAATGAACAAAACAAAACAGAGGCAAAAGTTTAGCAAGAATAAAACAATGAATTAATAAAGATTTTCTTAAAATGTTACATGCATTTTTTTCCTTGAATTGAAATATGTGGAGGGTAAAACATTTTAAGCGATTCTAAAATATATTATTTGAAAAATGTATTTTCAAAAATGGTATTAAAAAAGTTTTTGCAGAAAATATATTGCAAAATACTTTTTAATATTCCCCAAAATATATTTTCTTAAATATATTTCAAAATATATTTTATATATAGGAATATGGGCAGCACAGTGGCACGATGGGTAGCACTGTAACCTCACAGCAAGAAGGTCGCTGGTTCGAGCCTCGGCTGGGTCGGTTTGCATGTTCTCCCTGCGTTGGCATGGGTTTTCTCCAGTTGCTCTGATTTCCCCCAGTCCAAACACGTGCTATAGGGGAATTGGGTAAGCTAAATTGGCTATAGTAGATTTGTGTGAATGATTGTGTATGGGTGTTTCCCAGTTATGGGTTGCAGCTGGAAAAACATATAGTCACCTTAGAATTGTAAGGTTCTATCTGATATTTTTGTTAAAATTGAATTATTGACATATTCTTATTAAATGACAACTTATATTATGGGATGTTTTTATAAGTTGTTTACATTTTAAGACCTTTTATCTAAAAAACAAATGTTACACACGTACTGTTTGCTTTATGGAATGCAAAAACATTAGAAGCTCAATATCTCAAAATCATTCAGAAAGCAGATAGAACCTTATAACGCCAAGGTGACGATATGCTGAATAAGTTGGCGGTTCATTCCGCTGTGGCGACCACAGATTAATAAAGGGACTAAGCCGAAAAGAAAATGAATGGATAATTGAATATTGTAATATATTTAAATATATATATTGTACTGTATGGCAATGCAGAGCTTGGTTCACTTTCTGCCTCCTTTAGAACCTATAATTGGAGATTCCTGTCAAACAAGAAACATTTTCAAAATTAATATGGTTTACTCAACACAAATAGTATAGATATAGTTGACTAATCACAGTCTAATGCAATGGTAACAGAACCTACTGAGATATAATGTCAGTGCATTAAAAAAACACAAATCATTATTCTGATTTGTTGTCATTTGTTTTCTCTTTTTTATTCATTTTTACACCGTGTCCTTTAATATCTATACACTCTGTAGTATTAGTATGAGATGTGACTCTGTTAATGTCATCTGATTTCATGCGTAAACAATAATGAAACACCTTTTTACAACTAACTTCTCTTATTTTTACCTAACCAATCATTTCAGTGACCTAGTAGATAAACCGCATGTGTAGGTCATGTTCTAATAACATTTGACAACCAAAACATCCAAAGAGATATGAACCCAACAAACATCTTTATATGTAGCTCCTGTTTAGTCTGTAGTTGTGTTTATTTCTAATACATTACACATGCTTTGGTTTGAAGTATCTGTAAAACATCAAAAGCATTCACTCACCTGTGCCCATTTTTTCAGGCTCCTGGGAATTTTAAAATCTCCTTTCAGTACCTGAGAAAGATATTGAGAAAAATGGTCAACATTTCATTTGAAAAGAGTAAAATTAATTAAAAATAGTAATGATTTGAATGTATATATTTTTTGTGTTATTGTGTTAACATTTAATCTAAGAATTCTGAGTTTTTAAAATGATTTTTAATTATTATTATTTATTTATTTAAAATTAATATCTAATTATTGAGGCGGCACAGTGACTCAGTGGTTAGCACAGTGGCCTCACAGCAAAAAGGTCTCTGGTTTGAGTTCCAGCTGGGCGAGTTGGCATTTCTGTGTGGAGTTTGCATGTTCTCCCTGCGTTCACGTGGGTTTCCTCTGGGTGCTCCGGTTTACCTCACAGTCCAAACACATGCGGTATAGGCTAATTGGGTAATACAAAATTGGTCGTACTCAGGGCCGGATTAACCAATGGGCCTTATGGGCACAGGCCCAGGGGCCCGTGCGCACTAGGGGCCCCTGCGAACGGGGAGGAAAAAAGACAATTTCGGAGTGTCTTTTTAGGCTAATTACAAATAGCGCATCTAGTTGGAATAAGCTATTCAGGGTTTACGCCTATCGATGCCTGATTGATAGAGACAAGATGAGTAAAGAGCTGTTTATTAACACAGCTGCAGTGGCGCACCTTGTAAGGCGCGCAGCTTCATGTTTTGACGCTATTGATTATCAACTTGGTTCGAATCCACCATAAGCTGAACTCGTGCTACTTTTTTTTCTCCCCGTTACATATCAGATTGGAAATATATTTTTAACAGAAAGGAAACATTTTTTTTAAATAATGCAAATGTGATATAAAGTCACAAGTGTCTCGTGGGTATTTAAAAATGTTTAGCCTTATAGGTGCCTCCCTCTCTGCAAAAACTATATTGCTCAGACAACTGTATTTCCTCTGAGCAAAAAAATCGCGAACACATATTAATATTATTATTATATTTAAATTGCCTTTTTTTCGTTAACTAAACAGAATGCTGTCATTGGTCAAGCGCGGAAACGTCAGTTTTGTAATAACCGGCACTAAACTGAGCAGACTGTAGTGTAACGTTATCTGTCATAGATCAAAAATGAGTGAACAAGTGGATTTAGCAAACGCGAGAGAAAGAGGAGAGGAGGCATCTTTATTGAGGCATTTTCATACACACTATCTTTAAACAGACCCATGATCAGGAGAATGAGGGTACAGAAGAAGACGTTATGGTAACTTTAAATGATGAGAAGCTAGCATTAACCAGGACGGAGGAGGCTAACGGCAGCGCAGCGCGGACTGGATTCATCGTGTGAGAGACAGACAGAAAATATACATAAATATACATATATATATATATAGTTTTATTAGTATTTTTATTCAATGCTTTGAAAAATAAGTTAAATCTTTGTAAACTATAAATACATATGCAAAAAATTATAGATTCATTTTATTTAAAAATTATTAAATTCTTATTTTTTAAATTCAACTATAGGGGTGCGGCCAGGTAGGGGGCCTTAAAAGACAATGTGCCCAGGGGCCCCTGAGGTCTTAATCCGGGCCTGGTCGTACTGTATGAGTGTGTGTGTGAATGTGACGGTGTATGTGTGTTTCTCATTACTGGGTTGCGGCTGGAAGGGTATCCGCATCGTAAAACATATACCAATCCACTGTGGCAACCTCTTAAATAGAGACTAACCTGAAGGAAAATGAATAAATGAATGAGTGTCTTATGATTGGGTGAAGCAGTGGCGCAGTAGGGAGTTTGCATGTTCTCCCTGCGTTGGCGTGGGTTTCCTCCGGGTGCTCCAGTTTACCCCACAGTCCAAACACATGCACTATAGGGGAACTGAATAAGCTAAATTGTCTGTAGTGTATGAGCGTGAATGGGTGTGTGTGGAGATGGGTTGCGGCTGGAAGGGCATCCGCTGCGTAAAAACGTGCTGGAAAAGTTGGCGGTTCATTCAGCTGTGGCGACCCCAGATTAATAAAGGCGGATTAATAAGCCAACAAGAAAATGAATGAATGAATAAATGAATATTCACTGAATGACAAACCACTGCAGCTGCAACCCATCTCTGGGAAACATCCACACACACATTCACACACACTCATACACTACGGACAATTTAGCCTACCCAATTCACCTGTACCGCAGGTCTTTGGACTGTGGGGGAAACCGGAGCACCCGGAGGAAACCCACGCGAAGGCAGGGAGAACATGCAAACTCCACACAGAAACGCCAACTGAGCCGAGGCTCGACCCAGCGACCTTCTTGCTGTAAAGCAACAGCACTACCTACTGCGCCACTGCTTCCCCCTTTAAATTTCATTCCTTTACTAAAAATCTTTTTTCTTTGAATGCATGATAAAGGTTAAAGCTCCTGTGACATGAAAATAAAGTTTTTATAGATGTTAGTACCTGTATAGGTGCATCCCAAATCACAAACTCATGCACTATTTTACCTCATTTTGTAGTATAAATAGTGTAAGTAATGCATTCACAATGAAATTCTTCTAAAACGAAATAAGTGCACTACCCGGATGCTGCACTTATTCAACTGTTAAAAAGAAGTGTGGAATGATGGACACTTCACGCACTCAATCGTCACAGCTTTGCTCACACAGCAGAAGGGGTGGGGCTACTGGCGAAGGGGCGGAGCTATCGGCTGCTGACGTTTGATTATTTTATTTATTTTGGATTGTGAGAGCAGTTTTCTCCTACAGGGGTGATTATAGCGTCTCCCCGGGGAGAATGAGGTCATACTCATGGCAGATATTATTTTATAGTTTGGTCATTTATTTCAATAGAATTTGGCGAAACAGTTTCAGGGAAATTCCGGTTAGTAAAAAAAAATTCCATTTGGCACAACACTACATATAAATACAATACTGTTGAGTGTGTAAGTGCATAGTGCATAAGTGCATAGTGTATAGTGTGCATAGATATATACACTAGATATCGCATAGGGACCCTGAGCATGCGTTAATAGCGCCGCCATATTGGTACAGTGTTCCCAGAACAAATGTCATTCAACCGCACTAGTCAAGACAGTGTTATTACGTGAAGATGCAGGACTTTAGCGCTGTCTACGGGTGTAGTAATGAGCAAACAAAGAAATCAAAGCACAAAGGCAGAACATTTCATAGATATTATTAAGTTTTTTTCTGTTTTTGTATGTTCTGTATGCTAATCAGGTCACGTTATTGATGATAACAGTCACTTACTGCATTCACCATACGGCAAAGCAGCTCCAACTCGCACTAAACACTTGGCTTATGCTAGTTTTGTTGAATAAAAACAGCAAACCATGCAGGAGAAATATGACAACGAGATGCTGCACTGCCAGAAACTTGTATTATTGTCGGCTAACGTTAGTGAAAGAGTCGTTCGGGGGATTCATTCACAAACGAATCGCTCCCTCCGTCAGTATGAGCAGTGAAAGCAGGAGAGGAGCTGTGTTTCAGGACATGATTAGATCAAATTTAACAGGGAGGGTGAATAGTACATTTCTGTACACACAAACACAAGCTTTTTGTCAGGAATGCCCGTGCGGTCACTGATCCATCAATGAAGAAAAGTGATGTAAAATTATAATTTTCGTAATTAGAAAAAAAAATTGCATACTAACATCCAGGAAAACTCCCGATCACAGATATATGTGTTTATGTGTATATCTCTGGCTTTGCATGGCCACAGTCCTCCACTGTACCTTGGTCCCGCATTCATTTTAAAGGAGCGCTACCCTGTAGCAAGATGGCGGCGCTATTGACACATTCCGTCCAACAGACAACAATAGGCCAGGCGACATCTAATGAATATATCTATGCATAGTGTGCCATTAGGGACGCAGCATATGTTATGTCTTCATGATATCTATATGCTCGTGTGCTCGAAAACACTGACAAAATTCACATTTTTGCAACATCCTAAATTTGCAGTTTGTCTCCTCTGCCTAAAAGGACCCGCAGTTTTTTCACATCACCTCATACTTTAGTTTCTCATCAAATCTTGACCAATCAAATGCACTCTAATGTCTGACATGCCCCGCCCCCTTCTTTTCACTTGCATTTAATGCGCTTAGACTTGACCGCTCTTAAAGCTGCAGTGAATAAAGTGTTCTGAAATACCCTCTGAGTATTGTTGATGACTTCAGGATCTGGCTGGCCGTAGTCTGGAGGATTGGCGTTGGGGTTGTAGCCCAGCCGGCGCAGCATGGGTGCGATATTCTCCAGGTCGTCCTGCACGTCTGCTGGGATGTGGCCGACCCACCGTGTCAGAGCTTCCAGGTTCACAGGTTTGATCACCTGATCCGTGGAGCGTTCAGTTCTAATAAAAAAAACAACAAAAAGAGGGTCGGGGTACTGCATGACGTGAGTTGTGTAAACAGGTTACAATTTTCAGGCAACCAGTAAAGCATTGCACAAAACACAAAAGAAACTTAAAGGGAACCTCCGCTGCCCCTTTTTACAAGATGTAGTCTGATTCAGCTTAAAAAAACCCACAAATAAAGTTTAATATCTCTCTGGAATGAAAAATTGTGTGCAACATATTACTTTTAAATTAACTTTCTGCAATTCTGTAGAAATCAAATGTAGGCAAATGTAACTTTCTTACTTTTTTAAAGCAGTAACTGTCACGGATTGTTGACGGGACGGAGACAAAAAGGTGTCGGATCCAAGTGCAGTTTATTAATGAAATCGTGCAGTACAAACAAACAAAACAAGAAACTCTGGCAGAAAATACTTAGGACAGGACTTCAGGAACAACAAACCAAACAAGACTTACTAGGCTAGGAAGACAAGATAGACAACAACGCAGTGACAAAAGCTGCGTCCCAAAAGGCACACTATACACTATGCACTCATGCACTATGTACTTATGCACTTACACACTCAGCAGGATAGTATATGTATGTAGTGTCGTCCCAAATGGCACACTTATGTTTTTTTTACTAAGCGGAAATTCAAACCGTTTCCCTGATGACGTTTGACGGTCGCCAAATCAGTGAAATAAACGACCGAATTATCAAATAATACCTGCCGTAAGTATAACCGCATTCACCATCGGGAGGCGCTATAATCACTCTCGTAGGAGAATTTTGCTTTCACCATCCAAAATAAATAAAGTTATCCAACATGTGCGGCCGATAGCTCCGCCCCTTCCGCTACGTAAGCAAACCTGTGGTCGTTGCGTGCGTGAAGTGTCCATCATTACACACTTCATTTCAGCAGCTGAATGAGTGCATCATCCGGGTAATTAAAGTGCACTTATTATTTTGAGAGTTTTCAATGTAAACACACTACTCACACTATTTATACTACAAAATGGCGTAGAATAGTGCATAAGTATGCGATTTGGGACGCAGCTAATCAATAGGAGTAGAGTGAATAAATAGTCCATGAAATCAACAGGAAACGGAGACAGCTGTGTTTTGCAAATCAGTGTAAGTGGGTTCCGGGTGTGTGCACGAGGTATGTATGAACTTGTAGTCTTTAGCAACTGTAATTCGCAGTTCACAGCGAACTACAGTGCCATCTGGTGGTTACAGACAGTCATGACAGTAACTCTATGTGACAGTAACTCTAGCAATGTGGCGCAAGGCGCGACGCAATTATTATATGCTAGTTTCAGCTTGGCGCAAGAGACGTTTTGCAGCACGCTGTTTAACTAGCTAATGCATTTGCGCTCATATGTGCGCCCATAGGCGTTCTGGTCTAAAAAAGGAGGCGTGTTGAGGCGCATTGCTGGCACGTTGCTATTTTGAGGAACCTAAATAGACGGTTCAGTAGACTCGATCAAAGCTGGTCTATTGTCCAGCGCAGAGCGCAATAGTTGTTCGCCACACTTAAACATTGCTTCATACACACAGGATGTAGAGCAATACACAAATATCTTTACAAATGAAAAATAATTAAAGGATTAAAATATTACAAAAAATTTTTTCTAGCCTACATCAATATAAAAACCACCGCCTTCATGCCTTCTTCATCTCGGGGGATTTTCAGCTTATTCATGATGATTTGCTTTTGTGTAATGTTATTATTATTAGCAGTATTATTTATCATATTCATATTTATATTTGTGTTATTAAAAACAAGCTTAGATTTGTCCACCTGTCAGGTTTTAGACCATATGGGGCAGCATGTGTATTTGGATATAACTCAGGTTTTTGAGCACACTTCGTTGTTATTGTTCATTTATTCGTTTGCTGGAAATTAGAACTGAATTTAGAAATAGTTTTGAAACAAATCTTTGCACTTAATAAATGAAATTAGTTATTTATAGGCTAATGGATGTCTTTGCATGCAACATGTTTCCCTATCCACGAGAATGAAAGTAAAGGTAAATAATGTGGAGGTTCATCTCTCATTCTCCTGCTGCAGATGCTCTGTTTAACTGTTTTCTTGCTAGTAAAATGCTCAGTTTTTCCACTTACAAAGTCGTCATGTAAATAGCAAAGGCGCTATGGGCGTGACGCAACTGACACTTAAAGGGAATGGGAGATGAGACTCTCTGATTGGTTTATTCTCAAAACACACCCAGAACTCATTAAGAGAATAAGCTCAACCCTGTTAGACCATGCGCCACGGGGCAGAGTGGATTTTTCCGTCCTTAAATTAGCAAAAGTGGATTCAGACACGCCCTTAATGTGTTTGCGCCCTGCACTTTGGACTTTGCGCATGGATCTTCAAAATACAGCCCTATATGTAATGCATTGCTTTTAAAGTTACCACAACACCGGAAAAAGCAATACAAAACTAACTTTCCTTAAAAGTAACTGTTGTGACATTAGGTACTTTTTAAAAGGAGTAAGACAGGATTGTAATGCATTTCTTTTAAAAGTATCTATCCACAACACTGACAGAAGCAATGCAAAAGGAACTTTACTTAAACAGTAAATCACGTCATGTAAAGCATGACGTCTATAGTTAACTTTGCCCCAATACTGTGACAAGTAATGCAAGAGTAACTTGCCTTTAAAATGCCTGTAATGCATTACTTTTAAAGGTAACGAAATGTGTTGCTTAATTAGTTTCTAAAAAAAAGTAACTTATGCATTGGTTTCAGAGTTCGGGACAGTTTATTTTAAAAGCAATGCACTACAGAATTGTGTTACTTCTTTTAAAAAGTAACTAAATGTGCTGGTTAATTACTAATAATTAAGGCAAGTTATAGTTGCAGTACTTCCCCAACACTATAGTTAACTTCCCCAAAACTGTAACAAGTAATGCAAAAGTAACTTTCCTTAAAAGTAACCAAGTAACAGATTAAGTTGCTTTTTAAAAGAAGTAACACAAGTTAATAATGCATGCTAGAAGGCAGCTTTTCTCCATACCGTGACAGTGAAACCCCTCCGGGCTGTCCGATGGCCTCCTCGTGGTGTAAAACTCCTTCGTGCCAGGGCGATTGGAGGAAAAGCAGCACTCTCTGCATGGAGGTTCGCGGTCGCAGCACCAGATCCTCATATCGGACGGTGAGACAGCGGCGTGAGCCCACAGCCATGCACTGGGACAGCATGGCCTGAATGGCGCTGCTCCACTTAGTCAGACAGTCTCTGTAGCTGGACAGGTCGAAGCCGGCGATGGTGACCCGTCTGGAGATCATGGAGTGCACGGACGCCCTGCCGTCTCTGAGCATCAGCACAAACTTAGAGCTGAAGGAGCAGATGAACACAGGAGGAAATGGAGAGGAATGAGGCACATAATGAAAACAAACCAAACTTTAGATTTTAGAGTTTCCCCAAAGAGATTTGCACCAAATTAAAACAAATCTGGTGTGATTTTGACATATCAAATAAATAAATAAACAACACAAGATATATAAATAAATTAATTTTTTTTTTCAAAATTCTTTACAATGTACATCTTATTACATAAAAGTATTATTAATTAATTAATTAATTAATAATGAATAAATGGTGTTTTAGTTTTTTTAATCCTCAGAATGGATTTTTTATAATTTATATAAATAAATAATTAATTTAAAAAAACAATGAAATTGCCATGAGGGGACTCACTGGGCAATAATAAACATTAAACATGTTAGATATAAAATAAAATAAATGATAAATTAATAAATAAATAAAATAAAACAAGTCAAAATTAAATAGAAAATAAAATAAATAAATAAAAATTCCAAAATGAAATAAAAACATTTATTGAACAAGCAAAAAAAATCTAAATAAAATTAAGATAAATAAATAAATTACAAAATAAAATCTAATAAAAATACTAAAGAAAAAAGAAAACAAATTAAGTAAAAATGTTTAACAATATTTTTAAAATGCACAAAACAATAATAAATAAATAATAAACAATATTAAAACTAAAATACCAAAAAAATTAAATGTAAAAAAATGAAAAGGGAAAAAATGATTACAAAAAATAAAACAAAAATTTTAAACAATTAAATAAAAAAAAGCGAAAAAGGAGGGGGAAAAACAATACACAAAACATAACCCAGCCTTACTTGGGGAACAGGTGTGACAGATAGACAGCACTCTTCAGAGTGAACGGGTCTTTATTGCAGAGCATTGGCGCCGGTTCTCCGTGCCGAGCGATGACCTCCAGCAGGAATGCGGTTGTCGCGGCATCCAGAATCTCCTGATCGACTCCGGGCTGCTCCGTGCCGGCCTGCCGCAGCGACAGCACCCGGGGGATCACGCGCGTCTCCGCCCCGCAGCGGATCAGCGGGTGTGCGTCCAGCATCGCGCGCATCAGTGTCGTTCCCGAGCGCGGGACTCCGCCCACAAACACGATCGGTGTGTTCCGGTCATATCGATACCGGGTCCGGTTCTGTACCAGGACAGACACCACATGAGCTCCGGTCAGCTTTCCGTGGCACGCTATAACGCGATATAGAGTCCTGATAAGTGTATATCCTCCGAACAGAGTAAACAGAAGGAAAAGTGTCCGTTTGATTGACAGCCGCATCACTCTGGAAACAGCGGAGGGAAATAAATGTGTGTTATTGCATGGCAAATGAATGTATCCACAAACCAACATTATTTAAAGTAGGTGTAACCCCGCCGGTCCTGCCTCACCCAACCCGCTCCGAGCTGGTATCGAACCGGCAACCTTCCGCATGGGAGTCGGGTGCTCTACCAAGGAGGCTAAAGACCATAACCTCTAGCATCTGTCGCTAGAGCACCCTTAGAGGTCAGAGGAGTGAGGTTTACCTGCACAGCACACACTAGCTGGCCTCCGTTACATAGGCTACCATTTATTTATTTATTTATTTATTTATTTATTTATTTATTTATTTATTTATTTATTTATTTATTTATTTAAATAACTCAAACCTAGCATTTTGATTTTGTTAGCTTATATGGCTAGTTTTGTGGTCAACAATTAATCCGTGCATGTCATTAAGAAACAACAACAATAGTTTGCTCTTGTTTTCTAAAATTAAAATCTGAAAATGCACTTCCTGTTTGTTTGAAGTTTTGGGCGTGGCCAACACACTTAACCACGCCCCTCCAGCTGTCATCGCTACAACAACAGAAAGAAACGGTGAGGAGGAGTCTGTTAAGTTGTACAGATATTTCTATTTAAACTTGCATATACAGTTGAAAGCAGAAGTTTACATAGGCTACACTGTATAAAAAGGCACATTTTAAAACAAGTCAGATGTTAATGTGACTAAACTTTTCCTATTTAGGTAAGTTATGATGATCAGATGTGTTTCTGTTCTGCTTAATAGCAGAATAATGAAAGAGAGATTGTTAGAGAAATTGTTATAACTCTTCTTGAAAGTCAAGTTTACACACGATAGGATTATTCTGCCTCTGAAAAAGCTCAGATCCGCGTCTAAGAGAGGGGGGTGTCCGCGACACTACCCCCACCACCCGCGCCCTCAGTTCGCGTCTAGAGTGGCAGGATAGAGAGGGCGGCATACGCGACACTACCCCCACCACCCGCGCCCTCAGTTATATCCACGACTAATAGAGAGGGCGGTGTCCGCGACACTACCCTCTCCACTCGCTCCCTCAGTTAGGCCATATCCACGTCTAGTGCGATAGAATAGAGAGGGCGCCGTCCGCGACACTACCCTCACCACCGCGGCCTTAGTTATATCCGCGTCTAGGGCGATAGAATAGAGAGGGCGGCGTCCCTGACACTACCCTCACCACCTGTGCTCTCCGTTATATTCGCGTCTAGGGCAGCAGAATAGAGAGGGTTGTGGTTGAGGGCGGCGTGACCATCTTTTGCCTAGAGCGGCAAATGGGATTATTAATGAACACAGAGAGTCAGGATCTCGATTTAACATCTAACCCGAAAGACGGCGCTCACTGACAGTATACAGTCCCCTTCACTATACTGGGGCATTAGGACTCACATAGACCGCAGGTTAAGCGCCCCCTGCTGGCCTCACTAACACTTTCAACAGTAACCTAGAGTTCCCATCTGGTCTCCCATCCAGACAATGACCAGGCTCAGTACCTGGTTGGGAGTTATTGTAAACTAATTGTTTCAATTTAATCCAACGTTTGGTTACAACAACCCAGCATTTTTTTCGAGTGTAGCAATGTTAAAAATTAAAAACGAAAGAAAAGAGAAAGGTGGAAGTGTCATGCAGGGAATTCTGGGAAACTCTGTTTATTGTTATACACCATACGTTACATAGTTAGGAAACCTGCTGTTAAGGATAACCAAGTTGTTCTGTAGCATTTTACACTTACAATCACATTATTTTTAAAGTGTAGCAGTGATTGTTGGGTTCAAACAACCCAGCAGAGTGTAGACATCTGCAACAGTCAGGGCCGGCGCGTCCATAGAGGCGACCTAGGCGGCCGCCTTGGGCGGCAGAATAGATAGGGTGGCGTCCCCGACACTACCCTCACCACTCGCGACCTCAGTTATATACGTGTCTTGCGGCAAAATAGAGAGGGCGGTGTCCGCGACACTTCCCTCATCACCCTCACCCTCAGTTATATCCGCGTCTAGGTTGGCGGCGTCCCGACACTATCCTCACCACCTGCGCCCTCAGTTATATCAGTGTCCGCGACAGCTCCCTCGCCCCCATCACAACACCCCCGGCGTCCTTTGCCTAGAGCGGCAGTTCAGCTTGCGCCAGCCCTGACAACAGTCCTAAAATGCGAGCTGTAGTCATCAAAAACACAGGTAACGTTTTTTATCAACATTGTGACAACGTTCATCAAGTACAAATAACGTCCTGAAGACGTTCCATGTGTCTGCTCATGTGAAATATCTGTCTATATTCGGACTATATTGTTAGATTTACTTTCTTAGAGATGGGTTGTGGCTTTTGCGGCGTAAAAACATGCTGGATAAGTTGGCGGTTCATTCCGCCGAGGCGACCCCGAAATAATAAACGGACTAATCCGATAAGGAAATGAATGAAATTAATGTTAGATTTACACCTCACCTCAGATTTAGCCATATATGCTTTAAAATCTAGATATAGAATTTAAAATCTCTGTATAATTAAGCCATATAGCATTTAAGCATATTAACATAATCTTGATATAGCATTTACATGTTTTTATATAGCAATATAGTGTTTAAAATCTCGATATAGCGTTTGAAATAGTTTACATTTCTGCATTTTAATATGCATTATTCAGTCTTGATATAGATCTAAACAGTTCAATGGCTTGATCGGATAATACTCTGATGAAATCTTTGAATAACTATAACTCTCACAGCGTTATGAAAGGATGATCACTTTGTTGTTGTTGCAGCGTGTTAAAAAGTGAAAGTAGTTTACGCTAAACAGGAAATATGGTTGCAGGTAAAAGAATCCTGATCAGTCGATAATGGACAGCTAAAGTCACACACACACACATCGAGATGCATTAAAAATAAACATACAGAGCTTATTAATAATGAAACGATGGACTGACCTTCAGGCACCGAGCAGTGAATCTGCATGATCTCTGCAGGACTGAACACGCACAAACACATACTCACAGGCTGAAAACTTGAGGAAGTGGAAGAGTTTACACATTAAAACTGACTGAAAACTTGCGACATGTCTTTTTCCGGTGCCCCAGAGCCTAACATCCCCCACATGGCACAAATACTGCTGTAATTTATAGTAAATAGTGTTGTTGAACCAGTTAAGTGGATTATTCTGCATATATTAGTATTTAAATCATATTTACAGACCCATGTTAAAACATGATATGTGGCAATTTGAATAAAAGACATAGTAAATACTATACCATAGTAAATTTTATTGTTTATGGCAACACAACTACTATAATAATATTATAAACAAATGAGCCATAATTTCTACAACTATAGGGTATCTTACACTAAAATACATCACTGTTTACTGTAGTAAAAACTAAAATTTACTACAGTATTTATTAGTTTCACAGTTCACTATAGTTAAATACTACAGTATGCATTAACAAATAGTTAATATAGTCACTTTGGATCAAAAACGCTGTGGCATATATGCAACACATATTTCAAAACATTGGGAAAACTGGCCTTGCTTATATTACTATTTGTTGTGTTACCATAGCAACTGTAGCATCACCTCAGCAGATTAATTTAGTTGTTGTTACCATAGCAACTGTAGAATCACCACAGCAGTTAAATTTGTTTACATTAATATAGTTGTTTTGTTACCATAGCAACTGTAGAATCACTACAGCAGATTAAGTTGTTTGATTTACTATAGTTGTCGTGTTACCATAGCAACTGTAGAATCCCCCCAACAGATTAATTTGTTTATTTTACTATAGTTGTCGTGTTACCATAGCAACTGTAGAATCACCACAACAGATTAATTTGTTTATTTTACTATAGTTGTTGTGTTACCATAGCAACGGTAGAATCACTAGAGCAGATTAATTTGTTTGATTTACTATAGTTGTCGTGTTACCATAGCAACTGTAGAATCAACACAACAGATTAATTTGTTTATTTTACTATAGTTGTTGTGTTACCATAGCAACGGTAGAATCACTAGAGCAGATTAATTTGTTTAATTTACTATAGTTGTCGTGTTACCATAGCAACTGTAGAATCACCACAACAGATTAATTTGTTTATTTTACTATAGTTGTCGTGTTACCATAGCAACGGTAGAATCACTAGAGCAGATTAATTTGTTTAATTTACTATAGTTGTCGTGTTACCATAGCAACTGTAGAATCACCACAACAGATTAATTTGTTTATATTACTATAATTGTTGTGTTACCATAGCAACTGTAGAATCACTACAACAGATTAAAGCTGCATCTGAAATCGCATACTTCCATATTGTATAGCTCACTAAAATCAGTTTGAGAGTCGAGTAGTGTGTCTGAAATCCCAGAATTCGAAAATCAGCAAGCGAGAAGTTCCCAGATGACCGACTACTTTCAGCGAGATTCTGATGTGTGCATCCCATGATACGATGATAATTTGTGAAGCTATGCAACTCACACAGGTAGGTCACGTGATCATGACAAAATGGCGCATGTAGTACATCCAAGTTCCATTCATACTGCTCACATTCATACTGTATAGAACGTACTTTTCTAACAGCCGAGTAGAACATTTAAATTCAAATGCAGTACTACCTACTGAGCAGTAGGTGGTTTCGGTTGCAGCCTTATTTGTTTATACTTCTATAGTTGTTGTGTTGCCATAGCAACTGTAGAATCGCCACAACAGATGAATTCTTCCGTATGGTTTAGAAGCACTAGTATTCATTGCATTAAGTGTTCATTGATTTTTTTTTCTTCTGTTTGTTGTGAACAGTTTGCTTAGAACAACCGTTCGCAACACATTTATACCCACGCAGCACTTAACACTTAAGAAGATGATGAAGCGCAGAGGAAATGGGCTGATTGAGAAATTACAAAAGGTGTGAAGATTTGTAGCTTTAATATGATTTTTTTTTTGCACACAAGCAGGAGGCTTGATGTTTCCACTCCATTGTGCTGACAAACCCACATGTTCAGAAATCATTTGTTTTAGTTTAGTTTAGTTTATTTGTTTACAGGGTCAATGCACACTAATAAACATTACTGTAAAATGTGCCAGAATTAGCCAAGAATGGCTATTTTTCATCCGTAGACCCCTTACAGAATGTTAAAAAGTCACACCTAAAATAGAAGCACAACATTAAACATTAAATACACTTTCATATCAAAAATACAGTTAAAAAAGTAAAGAAAAGAAAAGAAGAAAAGAGAAAAAAAAACAACAGACTGATGGCAGCAGAGGACAAAAAGTCAAAGACAACAGTACAAATGTGTCAAGAATACAGTACTAATGCTGACAATGCTGATTTGTCAATAACCAATTTTTAACATGAGAACGAAAAGTGCATGATCTTCTCATTGTTGGTGGGATGGAGTTCCATTCCCTAGCAGCTTTCACTGAAAATACAGATTGACTGAATTGACTTTTTTTGAGAGGAATAATGCAGTCCCCTCTGTCACCTCCTCTAGTAGTTTGGTGAGCGGTCGTTCTAATATTTACAAACTGATTTAATGGTGAAGTCGGGTTATGTAAAGTCTTAAACATTAAACAGATATGTACATATTTAATTTAATTTTCCCAACTAAGCATGTTGTATTTCCTTAATATTAAACAATGGTGATATTGAACTGATTCCTTATCAAGGGTTTTTATGGATTGTTTGTATAAAGATTGTATCTCAGAAATACAGCCTACAGCTAGAAAATGAGTGTTGAGAGCAACAATGATGAGTTCATTAACTCTTAATAAATGCGGTTCAGCAAATTTCCACTAACATTGAAACAGGAATCAGCGAGTGAGATATTTCCACACAGATTTCACAACAGGTTGAGCGATAAAAAAAATAAAAATAAAATTAAATTAAAAACCAGTGGTCATAAACAATCATACTGAAGTAAAAGTACCATTACTTGTTAAAAAATGTAGTGCAAATACACTAAAATTATCTGCTGTAAATATTATACAATTATATAAATAATATGTGTTATATAAGTATTACACTGTGACAAGCTGATATGTTTACATGCTTTATGTGCAGGGATGTGTAAACGTAACATTCTGTAGTGCATTTAGTGATCTTCCTACATTCGTTTGTTTCTTCTATTGATTGTTTGTTTTGTTCTTCCTTTATTCATTCGTTTGTTCGTTCCTTCCTTCATTCGATGTTCGTTCCTACTTTTGTTCCTTCCTGCTTTAGGCCCTTTGTTCATCAATTGATTCATTTGTTTGTTTGTTTGTTCATTCCTTGCTTAGCTTGTTCAGTCCTTCCTCGAATCCTTCCTTCATTCATTTGATCATTTCTTCATTCCTCCTTTCATTCGTTCATATATTTTGTAACTTCCTTCATTAGGTTCTTTGTTCATTCATTCATTCATTTGTTCCTTCATTAGTTTGCTCAGTCCTTCCTTGAATCCTCCCTTTAATCATTTGATCCTTCCTTCCTTCATTAGTTCGGTCCTTCCTTCATTCAGCTCTTCCTTCCATTCTTCATTAGTTCCATTTAATGATTGTTTAAGGCTGTTTGGTGATCTCAGTCAGTCAACATCCATCATTTTCTCATCGGTGACACGCAGTCTATAAAAGCTCTCGGGTCATTGTGTGTAAAGATTTTGGACATCTTCTAGGACATTTTTAATTCTTCAAAAGGTTTGCTGCATTTATAAATCGCCCATGTCTTGATGTTGTTCAGTAAGATGTGATTTAATTTCTGTGTGTGATTTGATTGGACAGGAAATGTGATATATTGTGTTGTAGGTCATTAAACAGGTCTTAATTGTGGGCGTCAAAGTGGCTCAGTGGTTAGCACTGTCGCCTCACAGCAAGATGGTCGCTTGTTCGAGTCCCGGCTGGGTCAGTTGGTGTTTCTGTGTGGAGTTTGCATGTTCTCCCCGTGTTGGCGTGGATTTCCTCCGAGTGCTCTGGTTTCCCCCACAGTCCAAACACATGCATAGGGGAATTGAATAGGCTTAGTGTTCTGTTATGTATGTGTGTGAATGCATGCATGAATGGGTGTTTCTTAGTACTGGGTTCAGGCTTGGTTAATTAAAGTAGCCTTTATTTAAAATAGACTTGGCTACAGCTGTCCAGCTGCTCAATAACGCACATTTCTAACCAGCCAATCACATGGCGGCAGCTCAATGCATTTAGACATGGTCAAGACGATCTGCTGCAGTTCACACCGAGCATCAGAATGGGGAAGAAAGGGGATTTAAGAGACTTTGAACGTGGCATGGTTGTTGCTGCCAGACGGGCTGCTCTGAGTATTTCAGAAACTGCTGATCTACTGGGATTTTCACGCACAACCATCTCTAGGGTTTACAGAGAATGATCTGACAAAGAGGAAATCTCCAGTGAGCAGCAGTTCTGTGGGCGCAAATGCCTTGTTGATGAGGCCAGAGGTCAGAGGAGAATGGCCAGACTGGTTCCAGCTGATAGAAAGGCAACAGTAACTCAAATAAGCACTCGTTACAACCGAGCTCTGCAGAAGAGCATCTCTGAACACACAACACGGCCAACCTTGAGGCGGATGGGCTACAGCAGCAGAAGAGCACACCGGGTGCCGCTCCTGTCAGCTAAGAACAGGAAACTGAGGCTACAATTCACACAGACTCACCAAAACTGGACAATAGAAGATTGGAGAAACGTTGCTGCTCTGATGAGTCTCCATTTCTGCTGACACATTCGGATGCTCGGGTCATAATTTGGCCTCAACAACATGAAAGCATGGATCATCCTGTCTTGTGTCAGCGGTTCAGGCTGGTGGTGGTGGTGTAATATTTTTTTTCAAATTTTTTTTTCATTTTTATTTATGTTCTCCATCAGTGTCTCCATCTTCTGATGGCTACTTCCAGCAGGATAACGCAGCATGTCATAAAGCTCAATCATCTCAGACTGGTTTCTTGAACATGACGATGAGTTCACTGTACTCAAATGGCCTCCACAGTTACCAGAGCTCAATCCAATAGAGAAGCTTTGGGATGTGGTGGAACGGGAGATTGGCATCATGGATGTGCAGCTGACAAATCTGCAGCAACTGTGTGATGCTATCATGACAATATGGAGCAAAATCTCTGAGCAATATTTCCAGTAGCTTGCTGAATCTCTGCCACCATTAAAGCAGATCTGAAGACAAAAGGGCTCCAACCTGGTAGTTCACAATTGTCTGTCAGAGATCTGTAATCAATGAAAGCATGAAAATCCAGTTTTCACTTGCAAAAGACAAAGACAGCATTCAATAAAATCAGGCCACTTCAGTGTTAGAAAAGATTGAAATGAATTTATTGATTCACGTTTCTGTAGAGAAATCATCGTTACATTGTTTATCTTGATCTCCAAAAAATGAAGTAATCATTAAATCAGCAGAAGACGCTTCACGTTTACTTCAAAATAAATACATCATCTGCTCTCTGCTGCAGTAGTAGACGTCACTTGCAGGGCGGGGGAAAAATACTACTTTAAAACCTGCACTACAAACTGCTCTAAGTACAAAGACTTAAAAATGACAGCAGGCAGGACGGGCCACACACAGACACAGGACGGCGCCAGCACAAGCCCTTTATATCGGAGCAAACAAGGGCTTCACGTACTCCACAGGTTACACTGTCCCATAGGTCACGGCATTGAGGCGTAAGAACACTGGAAACTCATCACGGTTTCTTTGTTTACACTCGGCATATAATCACACACACACTCACAGGACACTTCATTAGGTACACCTCACTACAGTGTGCTGTTTATATTGACTGCTACGATTTAAGGGCTTCCTCATGAAAGAATACTATAGTAAATGTATAGTACTACAGTGTTATTTAACCAAGCTTCAGTGAAGCGTATTTCACTGTATTAAGATTATAAATCTCTGTTATTGAACGCTCCAGCATACTGAAGTATTAACTAAACTGTAAAAAATGGCCATGGCAGATTCAATTGTTTATAGTAATAGAATTTTTGTTACCATAGCAACAGTAGAATCATTATGACAGATTAATTTGTTTATATTACTATAGTTGTTACCATAGCAACCGTAGAATCACCATGACAGATTAATTTGTTTATACTACTATAGTTGTTGTTACCATAGCAACCGTAGAATCACCATGACAGATTAATTTGTTTATATTACTATAGTTGTTACCATAGCAACTGTAGAATCACCATGACAGATTAATTTGTTTATATTACTATAGTTGTTACCATAGCAACAGTAGAATCATTATGACAGATTAATTTGTTTATACTACTATAGTTGTTGTTACCATAGCAACCGTAGAATCATCAGACAGATTAATTTGTTTATACTACAATAGTTGTTGTTACCATAGCAACCGTAGAATCATCACAACAGATTATTTGTTTATATTACTATAGTTGTTGTTACCATAGCAACAGTAGAATCATTATGACAGATTAATTTGTTTATATTACTATAGTTGTTGTGTTACCACAGCAACTGTAGAATCATCACAACAGACTAATTAGTTTATATTACTATAGTTGCTGTGTTATCATAGCGACAGTAGAATCTATAATTGTTGTTACCATAGCAACTATAGAATCACCATGGCAAATTCATTTGTTTATATTATGGTTGCTGTGTTACCATAGCAACAGTAGAATCTATAGTTTTTGTGCTACCATAGCAACTGTAGAATCACCAGAGATTAAGGGGCCGATCACACCGAACATGTTTTTTGCGTTGAGAGGCACCTTTTTATATGGTTTATTAACGGCTGCGAGTGTTTTCCGCACTGCTTATGCACCCTGCGCGCCTCGCGTTTTGACCGCCAGCTGCGCCTCGCATTTTTGCCCTTGTGTGCTGTGCACTCGCAGTTGAAAAAAAGTTAACTCTGAGCGAAAAAAATGCGTTACGTCAGTCACGTCTTTTTCATTCTCCGATTAAATGAAAGCAGAGACGGGTTTCTGTTGAGGCACCTGCAGTTTTTGTGTAGTCAAGACAATAACAAAGACTTTTGAAGATAGAGGAGAGACTTGTGGTTGCTGTATGACTTCACAAATCTTGAATATCACAATAATATTTAATATTAAAATTATATTAATATCAACAGCAATACTCAGCACAATACCCAGCTGATTTAGTCGTTGCCTAGCGACATGACAAAAGTGCACCGCTACTTACTATAGTTTTGGTGTTACCATAGCAACAGCAGAATCTATAGTTGTTGTGTTACCATAGCAACTGTGGAGTCACAACAACAGATTTATCTGTTTATATTACTATAGTTGTTGTGTTACCATAGCAACTGTAGAATCACAATAGATTAATCTGTTTATGTACTATAGTTGTTGTATTATCATAGCAACTGTCAAATCACCATGACAGATTAATTTGTTTTTATTACTATAGTTGTTGTGTTACCATAGCAACAGCAGAATCTATAGTTTTTATGGATCCATAGAAACTGTAGAATCACCACAACCGAACTATTAAAATTCTTTATTACAGTATTATTGAAAAACACTATAATATTTACTTTAAATCACTGTAGTTTTTTATGTGGGCTGTAATGTTGCTAAATTAATAAAAACTTTTTACAATTCGTATAATTTATGCTTAACTTTGGACTGTATTCTGAAACACAAAATGTCCTATAAAAATAGTGTCAAGCAGCAAAAGTAGTATACATTCCATCTATAGTTTTATTTTAATGCTAAAATATAAATAAGCCACTACTGTTATCTATGAAATCTCAGATTTACTTTTCAGATTTAAAATAAAATATGCGTAGCCACACCCCTCCAACTGTTAGTTTGCTAAAAGTGAAAGATGAGAGGTGGGGCTTTAAAAATAAAACCCCACCCCCACTCCATGCTCAATATTCACTCTCAGTTGGAAATACATCATCATACTGAAATAAAAGTCTGCAGAATCTTCTGGATCACTCCGACTTTAAATGAATTGAATCAAACCTTATGATTGGCTGATTAGATATTTGCATTGAGGATCAGTCAACAGGTGTACCTAAGAAGTTGGCCGATGAGTGTATAAACACACACACAGACGCGCACACACAGACACACACACACACACACACACACACACACACACACACACACACACACACACACACACACACACGCACACTTTTGAACCTCTGGCTGTGAGTGCATACTTGTAGAATCACATTTAACCACAGTAAAGTGTACTGGCCGACTGAACTCTACTCTGATACTTGCAGATTCACAGACCCTTCCCTTCTTGCCCCCCCCTCTCTCTCTCTCTCTCTCTCTCTCTCTCTGGAGTTTTTGGGAGGTGGGAGAGTGGAGTTTTCAGGATCTATTTACATCACTTCCTGTAAGCACTGAATCAGAACGGGACGTGTCTGTGGGGCTCTTCATATGGATACCTCATATTCTCTTGTGTCCTGCTGAATATAAACACAGCCACATATACATATCGATTACAATTATGAAGCAGCTTTCACTGTTTTGAATGCAAAAAAACAATAAAAAATTATTTATATTTGTGCAAACCCCTGTTATACAGTACTGAAATGTTGCTAAGAGTTGCTAGATATGTGTATGGCCGACAGGGCAGTGCTGCATTGATGCTAGGGAGTTGCTAAGGTATTGTGGGAGGTTGTCAGGACAGTGCTACATTGTTACTAAGGGGCTGTGGAAGGTTGCTGGGGAGTTGTTATATGTTGTGGGAGGTTATAAGGATTGCAGTGTTGCTGAAGGAGTCTGGATACACACTAGGAAGTAGTTACTGTGTTGTGGCAGACTGTCAGGGCAGTTACATTGTTGCTAGGGGATTCCGCATATGCACTACTGAGTCACTAAGGTGTTGTGGTAGGTTGTCATGTCAGTGCTACAGTGTCGTTTCCAAATAGTTGCTAGGGAGTTGCCAAGGTATTGTGGGAGTTTGTAAGAGGAGTGCTACACTGTTGCTAAGAAGATCCGGGTGGTTGATATGTAGTTGCTAAGGTATTATGGGAGGTTGTCAGGGAAGTGTTACATTGTTGCTAAGGGGAGCAGAATGATTGCTAAAGAATTGCTAAAGTGTTGTAGGAGGTTGTCATGTCAGTGCTTTATTGCTGCTAAGGGGTTCCCGTTTGGTTGCTAAGGTGTTGCTAAGGATTTGTGGGAGGTTGTCAGGGCAGTGCTACATTGTTGCTAACAAGTTTAGAATGGTTGCTAGGGAGTTATTAAGGTGTTGTGAGAGTGCTACACTGTTGCTAAGAAAAGCCAAATGGTTGCTAGGGAGATGCTATGGTGTTGTGGGAGTTTGTAAGAGGAGTGCTACACTGTTGCTAAGAATATCTGTATGATTGCTATGTAGTTGCTAAGGAATTACGGGGTATTGCCAGGAAAGTGCTACATTGTTGCTAAGGAGTTCCTGATGGTTGCTAAAGAATTGTTAAAGTGTTGTGGGAGGTCATCAGAGGAGTGCTTCACTGTTGCAAAGATCTGGATGGTTGCTATGGAGTTGCTAAGGTGTTATGGGAGGTTGTCAGGGCAGTGTTACATTGTTGTTGAGGGGTGCAGAATGATTGCTAAAGAATTGCTATCGTTTTGTCGGAGGATGTCATGGGAGTGCTTCACTGTTGCTAAGAAGGTCCAAATGGTTGCTAGGGAGTCGCTAAGGATTTGTGGGAGGTTGTCAGGGCAGTGCTACATTGTTGCTAAGGGGTTCCTGATCCATTACTATGGAGTTGTTAATGTGTTGTGGGAGCTTGTAAGAGGAGTGCTACACTGTTGCAAAGAAGATCTGGATGGTTGCTATAGAGTTGCTAAGGTGTTATGGGAGGTTGTTAGGGCAGTGTTACATTGTTGTTAAGGGGTGCAGAATGATTGCTAAAGAATTGCTAAAGTGTTGTAGGAGGTTGTCATGGGAGTGCTGCACTGTTGCTAAGAAGATCCAAATGGTTGCTAGGGAGTTGCTAATGTATTTTGGGAGGTTGTCAGGGCAGTCCTACATTGTTGATAAGGGTTTCAGAAAGGTTGCTAACCAATTGCTAAGATGTGGGTGTTTGTCAGTGGAGTGCTACACTGTTGCTAAGAAGATTTAAAAGGTTGCTATGAAGTTGATAAGGTGTTGTGGGAGGTTGTCAGGGCAATGGTACAAAGTTGCCAAGGGGGTTCTGGATGGTTGATGGGGAGTTGCTAAGGAGCTGTGGGAGGTTGTCAGGACAGTGCTACACTGTTGCTAAGGGGCTGTAGATGGTTGCTATGGAAGTGCTCTCACCCCTCCAGTCTCATAGAGAGGGTTGTCAAACTCTGTCTCCACGGTGATCTGGCTGTAGGGATGCGGATACATCAGAGGAAGTCTCAGGTTTGAATGATATCTGCATCTGAGGAACACACAAGAGTAGAAACAATGCTGTTTTCCCACCTACACATAACATCACACTACAGGACATTACATGCTTTATGAGTGCTCAATAACACACTTTGATTAGAATAAGTAGCTCTGAGCAGAGCACGTGTAAGAGCTAATGGCCGGTTGTGCAGTCAGTAATGTTCACCTGGTGATGTAGATGTAAGTTCCTCCGAGCACCGCAGACACCAGCAGCACCAGGATGAATATAGCCAGAGCCAAACTTCCCCCATCAAAAGAGGATTCTGCAGCCGCCTCAGACACTGGAGCACACAACCATTACAGGAAGAGAATTTTACACAGTGTGTCTGATAATATTTGTTCTTCTGGAGAAAGTCTTATTTGTTTTATTTCAGCTAGAATAAAAATAGTTTTACATTTTTTATAGCCATTAAAATTATTAGCCTCTTTAAGCTATATATATTTAGATAGTCTCCAGAACAAACCATCGTTATACAATAACTTGCCTAATTACCCTAACCTGCCTAGTTACCCTAATTACCCTAGTTAAGCCTTTAAATGTCACTTTAAGCTGTATAGAAGTGTCTTGAAAAATATCTAGTCTAATATTATTTACAGTCATCATGACAAAGATAAAATAAATCAGTTATTAGAGATGAGTTATTAACACTATTATGATTAAAATGTCTTGAAGAAATCTTCTCTCCGTTAAACAGACATTGAGAAAAAAATAAACAGGGGCGCTAATAATTCTTCAGCTGCATTTAACACTTACCCTCTAATGCATGATTGCCAGAACATTCATGATTGGCTGAAATAAAAAGGACAATATTGGATGAATACACATATTACACACACAAAAAAGCACAAGTTGAAATATTAAAAATTACTATGAAATTGCAAGTGAATCAATAATTACAAAAGGATCTGCAAGGAGCACATTGAATTAAATGTGAAATGTTTCATAAAAAGGAATAGAGAAACAGCATTAATATTAATAACCATAATTATTAATTAATACAAATGTAATAAAAGCTCATAAAAATATTTTAATAGTAAAATTAAATCTTAGTTTCTTACAATGTTCATTCACTCTTTCATTTTCCGTTGGCTTAGTTCCTTTATTCATCAGAGGTGGCCACAGCGGAATGAACCACCAACTATTCCAGCATGTGTTTTACACAGCGGATGCCCTTCCAGCTGCAACACAGTACTGGAAAACACCCATACACACTCACACTCGTACACTACAGCCAATTTAGTTGATCAATTCCCCTATAGCGCATGTGTTTGGACTGTGGGGGAAACCGGAGCACCCGAAGGAAACCCACGCCAACACGGGGAGAACATGCAAACACCACACAGAGGCGCCAACTGACTCAGCCGAGGCTCAAACCAGCGACCTTCTAGCTGTGAGGCGACAGCACTACCCACTAAGCCACCTTATCACCCTTTCTTACAATATAAACAATAAAATATCCTATATTTTAACATGTTTCCCAGTGCTGGGTTGCAGCTGGAAGGGCATCCGCTGTGTAAAACATATGCTGGATAAGTTGGCAGTTCATTCCGCTGTGGTGATCCCAGATTAATAAAGGGACTAAGCCGAAAAGGAAATGAATGAATGAATGATTTTAACATGTAAACACGGTTTCTTTAAATACCCTCACTCTCTCCATACCTCTGCAAAGGGGCAATGGTCCACTCCAGAATGAAGGATTTCCCAGAATGCACTTGATGGCCATTTCACCGATAAGCTCATATCCCTGGTAGCACATGAAGGTCAGAGACTCTCCAGGAAGGTAAAGTCTTTTAGACAGAATCTGGTAGCCATTGTCGGGAAGGCCGGGATTCTCACAGGACACGGATTCTTCTGCTGTTAAACAGAAATAGATAGAGTCATGAATAGCTGAGGGAGTGAGGAGAGCTTCAGTGTTGTTGTAGTGAACTCACAGACGCAGTGTGGAAGGTGGGATGTCCACACCGGGGTGCCGGGCTCTCGGCCATAGCAGGTGAGTGTGGCGCCGCCCTGCAGGATGAATCCGGGTGTGCAGCTGTACTGGATGGTGGTGCCAACTAGCAGTTTGGGGTCAGAGAGTGTGCGTGTGGAGTGATCGACATGTCCCGGGTCTGTACAATACATGACTGAATAAAGGAGAGGGAAAAGATACAGAGCTGAGTGAATCTGCACTGAATCTGACTGAATCTGTTTGCTGAATCTGACTGAATGTGTGAATTTGAATGCATCAAATCAAATCTGACTTAATCTGACTGAATCTGAGCATTGAATGCATCTGCTGAATCGGAGTAAATCTGAGACATTCTGCTGAATCTGACTGAACGAGTGAATTTGGATAAATCTGTTGAATCTGGGTGAATCTGAATCAATCTGCACTGAACATGGATGAATCAGCACCAACCTGCTGAATCTGACTAAATCAGCTAAATCTGAATGCAGATAAACTGCGTGAACTGGCACTGAATCTGACCGAACTAAAGCAAATCTGACTGAATCTGCAGTTAATCGGAATCAAAATGAGTAAATCCGACTGAAGCTGCAGTTAATCTGAATCAAAATGAGTAAATCTGACTGAAGCTGCAGTTAATCTGAATCAAAATGAGTAAATCTGACTGAATCTGCAGTTAATCTGAATCAAAATGAGTAAATCTGACTGAATCTGCAGTTAATCTGAATCGAAATGAGTAAATCTGACTGAATCTGCAGTTAATCTGAATCAAAATTAGTAAATCTGACCGAATCTGCAGTTAATCTGAATCAAAATGAGTAAATCTGACTGAATCTGCAGTTAATCTGAATCGAAATGAGTAAATCTGACTGAATCTGCAGTTAATCTGAATCAAAATGAGTAAATCTGACCGAATCTGCAGTTAATCTGAATCGAAATGAGTAAATCTGACTGAATCTGCAGTTAATCTGAATCGAAATGAGTAAATCTGACTGAATCTGCAGTTAATCTGAATCAAAATGAGTAAATCTGACCGAATCTGCAGTTAATCTGAATCAAAATGAGTAAATCTGACTGAATCTGCAGTTAATCTGAATCGAAATGAGTAAATCTGACTGAATCTGCAGTTAATCTGAATCGAAATGAGTAAATCTGACTGAATCTGCAGTTAATCTGAATCAAAATGAGTAAATCTGACTGAATCTGCAGTTAATCTGAATCGAAATGAGTAAATCTGACTGAATCTGCAGTTAATCTGAATCAAAATGAGTAAATCTGACTGAATCTGCAGTTAATCTGAATCGAAATGAGTAAATCTGACTGAATCTGCAGTTAATCTGAATCAAAATGAGTAAATCTGACTGAATCTGCAGTTAATCTGAATCAAAATGAGTAAATCTGACTGAATCTGCAGTTAATCTGAATCGAAATGAGTAAATCTGACTGAATCTGCAGTTAATCTGAATCGAAATGAGTAAATCTGACTGAATCTGCAGTTAATCTGAATCAAAATGAGTAAATCTGACTGAATCTGCAGTTAATCTGAATCGAAATGAGTAAATCTGACTGAATCTGCAGTTAATCTGAATCAAAATGAGTAAATCTGACTGAATCTGCAGTTAATCTGAATCGAAATGAGTAAATCTGACTGAATCTGCAGTTAATCTGAATCAAAATGAGTAAATCTGACTGAATCTGCAGTTAACATGGCTGAATCTGCACTGAATCTGACTGCAATAGTCAACATTTGAAGTGGATCATCACCATTCATCAAAGTTGTCCTAAAACTACTGAGCAACACCCATTCTTGTCCGAGATCAATTTTGAAAAACATTTTTGATTCACTTCGATGTTAAGTAAGACAGCAGAATATACAGTTAATTTAACTGAATCTGCTGAATCTGACTTGCTCTGCAGCTAATCTGACTAAATTGGCACTGAATCTGAGTAAATCTGACAGAATCTGATTCAATCTTAAATGAATCAGACAAAATCTGCTTAATCTGCAATGAATCTGACTAAACTGGCGCTGAATCTGAGTGAATCTGAAATGAATTTGTCTGAATCTGAATTTGGCAAAATCTGCTAAATGTGCAATGAATCTGCACTGAACTGCCACAGAATCCGACTGAATCTGAAATGAATCTGACAAAATCTGCAGTGAATCTGAATGAACCTGTAGTGAGTTTACAAACGTCTGCCAGACTCACTCTTCTCACAGAACGGAGGCTGTGTGCTCCAGCTCAGGTCCACTTGACAGATGAGTGTTTCGCTGCCCACTAGGTCGTACCCGGGGTCGCACTGGTATGTGATGTGGGCTCCGCGCACCAGCGCTGCGTGAGACGTGCTTTTCCAGCCGTTCTGAATCTCAGGCAGATCTGGACACGAATCGTTGCGGGACACCTCTGAAAAACAAACAACAATGATTTCACCTCTGCCATTTCCTGCATATTCAGAGACCATTGATGTCATTTAAATTTAATTTAATTTAATTTAATTTAATTTAATTTAATTTAATTTAATTTAATTTAATTTAATTTAATTTAATTTAATACTGGGGTATCCAATGAATAAAATATAAAATTTGATCCATTTATTGAATTTATATTTGAGATAATATATTGAACAATTAATATGAATATATCCATAAAATAATAATTTATTCATTTATTTTGGTGCTTTGTGTTTAGTGAACATCTAAACAGATAAATGATCAATTTTAAACCAATTTGTTTGCAATATAGTTTATTAATTTACTAATTTTTAATAAATTAATTGTCATAAATAAACAAATTAATTACTAATCTCCAACTAAATAAATAGATACTTATGTTTACTGTACTTAATTTTTCCTTTAAGAACATTATAATTAAATTCTGTATATATTATGTTTTTATTTAATTAGATGCATAAATGATGTCTTAAAAATGACATGAGAAAAACATCCAGATTCTTCATTAATAGTAAAGTTAAGACAATTTAATTTGGATTGCTTTTAGATGACTTTTGACTTGTTTATAAGGCACCACATTGTTAAAAATTAAATGTATGAAACATTACATTACACAAGCCTCACAGCAAGAAGGTCGATGGTTCGAGTCCCGCTGGGTCAGTTTCAGTGTGGAGTTTGCATGTTCTCCCTGTGTTGGCGTGGGTTTCCCTTACAGTCCAAACACATGTGCTATAGGGGAATTGATTAACTTAATTGTCCCTAGTGTATGGGTGTGTGCGTGAATGAGAGTGTATGGGTGTTTTCCAGTACTGGGTTGCAGCTGGAAAGGCATCCACTGTGTAAAACATATGGTGGAATAGTTGGCGGTTCTTTCCGCTGTGGCGACCCCTGATAAATAAAGGGTCTAAGCTGAAGGAAAATGAATGAATGAATGAAAACTAGGCCAAAGACCCATACACACCCCAAAATGAGTAAACAGTTTAGACACAGACAAACACAACCATACAGTTATGAAGTAGAGTGTACATAAGACATGTTTGTTTTAGGATGAGGTGTATTATTATTCTTATGATTTATTGAACATGTTATTTAGGTCTGGTGGATAATAAAAATCCCATTTACATCCACTAAAGCAGGGCTGTATCACAGAGGCCGGAATATGACTTGGGAGCAGACTTCAGTCAGAAGTGCACTAACTACTACCCACAACACCACAGGGCTCTCAGAGGAGACTCACACACTTCAACAACAACAACTCACACACTTACAACAGATCCAGAATGAAGTTTGGCCTATTACAAAAATGTGTGTGTGTGTGTGTGTGTTTATCTGAATGAGTGTGAGTATATGCTTGTAATATGTGTATTTGTGTGTGTGTGTTTATCTGAGTAAGTGTGTGCGGGTGTGTGTGTCCAGGTTAAATGTCTTTGAGTATATATGTGTGTAATATGTGTGTGAGTGTGTTTGTTTATCTGACTGAGTGTGTGTGTTTGTGAGAGAGTATATACGTGTATAATATGTGTGTGAGTGTGTTTGTTTATCTGACTGTGTGTGTATGTTTGTGTGTGTGTGTGAGAATATATGTGTGTAATTTGATATATTTAGGACTGTTTGTGTGTGTGTGTGTGTCTGTGTGTGTGTGTATAAATGTGTGTGTTTGTGAGCGAGTATATATGTGTGTAATATGTGTGTGAGTGTGTTTGTTCATGTGACTGTGTGTGTGTGTGTGTGTGTGTGTGTATGTATGTGTGTGAATATATGTGTGTAATTTGATATGTTTAGGACTGTTTGTGTGCGTGTGTGTGTGTGTGCGTGTGTATAAATGTGTGTGTTTGTGAGCGAGTATATATGTGAGTAATATGTGTGTGAGTGTGTTTGTTTATCTGACTGTGTGTGTGTGTGTGTGTATGTATGTGTGTGAATATATGTGTGTAATTTGATATGTTTAGGACTGTTTGTGTGTGTGTGTGTGTGTGTGTGTGTGTGTGTGTGTGTGTGCGCGTGTGTATAAGTGTGTGTGTTTGTGAGCGAGTATATACATGTGCAATATGTGTGTGTGTGTTTGTTTATCTGACTGTGTGTGTGTGTGAGCGTGAATATATGTGTGTAATATGATATGTTTAGGACTATTTGTGTGTGTGTGTGTGTGTGTGTTTGTGCGTGTATAAATGTGAGTGTTTGTGAGAGAGTATATCCGTGTGCAATATTTATATGTGAGTGTGTGTGTGTTTATCTGACTGAGTGTGTGTATGTGTATATGTGTGTGCGCGTTTATCTGATTGAGCATGTGCGTCTTATTGTGTCTGATTCTCTTTCTATGTGTGTGTGTGTGTGTGTGTGTGAGAGAGAGAGTATATTTATCTGACTGTGTGTACGTGTATGCATGTCTGTGTCTCTCTTTGTGTATATATGTGCGCAATACAGTATATGTGTGTGTGTGTGTGTGTGTGTGTGTGAGTTTATCTGACTGAGTATATATCTGCGTGCGTGTCTGTGTGTGTTTAATTGTGTGAGTGTGTGTGTGTTTGTGTGTGTCTTTAAATTTGGGAAAGAACAGAAACTAAAGTAAATGTGAATGAATGAGGGCAGGAGCAGAGGATGATGGGAGTTTTCAGCTGAAAATAGTTGCACAGAAAACATTGATTGAGATGCGTGTCGACCACTGGAGAACAGAACGAATGAGCTCAAATCACTTGAATGGGAGAGAGAGTGTGTGTGTGTGTGTGTGTGTGTGTGTGTGTGAGACGCCAATTCTAGACTGAAAGCTTGTCTATAGGTGGGAAAACTGATGCATATATTTAATGCAAAAGATGATCAAGTTATTAGTGTTGTATTCAGTATATTGTTTTATATCTGATAGTTATTTATATACGTATGTAAAAATCAGCTGTCTGATTGCCTCACAGCAAGAAGGTCACTGGTTCGAGTCCCAGCTGGATCAGTTGTAATTTCTGTGTGGAGTTTGCATGTTCTCCCCGTGTTGGCGTTGGTTTCCCCCACAGTCCAAACACATGCGCTATAGGGGAACTGATTAACTAAATTGTCCTTAGTGTATGTGAATGAGTGTGTTTGTACTGGGTACTGGGTTGCAGCTGGAAGGGCATCCGCTGTGTAAAACATATGCTGGAATAGTTGGCGGTTCATTCCGCTGTGGCGACCCCTGATAAGTAAGGGACTAAGCTGAAGGAAAGTGAATGAATGGAGAGTCTCTTACCCATGTAGTTGATGATGAAGCCTTCGCCTTTCCCGAACACCAGGCCGGCCGGGTCCGAGTGGAAGCTGATGGTGAGGTCTGGGCTGGAGGACGACATCTTAAAGGGACTCGTGCCGCCCACAAACTGACCCAGAATACGTGTGGTGACTTCATCCCCATCCAGGATAGTGAGCATATCACTATCGCTCAGATTCAGCCTGACGGAGGAGATAACAGCTGGGTTTACATGCAAATACATGAAACAAATGTGTGCACAAAATTGGAATACAGCATGAAAAATGAGCGAATAACACAGCGCTTTCATTCAACGAGAAACAAAAGGGTCACTTCTTGATAAACCTGGAGGCAAATATCAGAGAGAGAAGTGTTTTATGATGACAATCAGCTGCGACTCAGAAAACAAAGACAAAACGCTATGAACAAGGTGGCTTTTAGAGGAGTGAGATGCTCTTTGGGAGCGCAGACAGATGCTCAAGACAGTTCTGGAGCTAATAATAATAGATTATTAATAATTAGGGATGCCACAATATATTATTGAAGCATTTGGGATGACATCCACGACCCATTTTTTAGGTTTGCATTAAAATATTAACATTGTATTCTTCATTTTCCTCCTTCCTACTCTCTGAACCGGCTCTGTGCATGTTACAATATGTATCTTAGTGCCGAAACACAGCTACCTGTGAGCACATGTCCATCAGCCAACATTAAAATAGGCGATGTTTTCCACAGGAAAGTTACGATGCGCAAATTAAGCCTGGCTTCTTTATGATAACACTCAGTTAAGACCAATAATTATGTCCATCTGTTCGACTTCTCAAGCTTTCAATTAGTTCTGTCTTGGAATGTAAACATTGGGGGAAATGTGTGTCTGGAACTTTCTAATTGTTCTGCATCCTAAAGTAAGAACATCTGATCCCTCAGGTCTGTGTTTTTAATATTAATCAAACAACTTAAGATATAATCAGGGGCACAACTGCACATTTACTGAGGAGTATGCGGGTTCAAGTTTTTCAAATTTCTAATTTTTTCTACGTTTTTATACATTTTATTTTCCTCACTAAATAATTATAGCACCTTGACATTTTTTTTTTTATTAAAATGTTATGGGCACACTTTTTTTTGTAACTAAAACAGTTTTAAGCAAAAAAAGTTACCAAAAGGGCTGATGTATCAATATGAAACATGATTTATAAAAACGTGTGTATGGTAAAAAAATGGATCTTCCGGCAGCTAGCTCTCTGCAACTCTCACATGGTCGCCCACTGAAGCTAAGCAGGGCTGCGCCCGGACAGTACCCGGATAAGACCACATGGGAAAGCTAGGTTGCTGCTGGAAGTGGTGTTAGTGAGGCCAGCAGGGGGCGCCCAACCTGCGGTCTGTGTGGGTCCTAATGCCCCAGTATAGCGATGGGGACTCTATACTGCTCAGTGAGCGCCGTCTTTTTTGATGAGACTTTAATCCGAGGTCCTGATTCTCTGTGGTCGTTAAAAGTGTAAGGAATTATTATTATTATTAATTAATAAACATTTCAGTTCTAAAAAATGTGAATATTCTGACTATTTGTTCATGTGTGAGTTTTAACAGGGTTAATTATGATCAATTTATATATAGGGGAACTTTTTAATCCAAATATTATTTTCTATTTTACCTGAAATATATTTAGGTCTGTACTTTTGTGTGATTCCTCTTATTTTGGCTAATTAATTAATTAATAATGAATAATAATAAATAAAGAACATTGTTTCATATTACTTTTAACTTTTTTAATTTCTTATTATCAAATTCATTATGGCAGTTTTCATTTTAAGGCATTGTTTGCACTTTATTTTGTTTCTATTTTGCGCTTCACGTCTCTTCACTCTCCTCTGCATTTTGAACATGTGACTGAAACGAACAATGGATCAATCAAATGATCAATGGGGGAGGGGTGGTAAAATTTATTTAATAAAATGCAATATTATACTTGTCTAAAATGCAAAATATTCATTTTTAAAAAAACATATTTTTATTTATATTATTTGAAACACTTAATAATGATAATTTCAAAGATAGTTTTCATATTGGCTCCCCCCATGTGTGGCGCCCCTGTGCGCCGCAAATACTGCACTCTGCTCTTACCTGAATAATAGTATAGTGCTAGTACAGCTCTGTGATGGTTAACCTTTTATTTAATCTATACAGTGATGATTACATGCAGTATTTGATTATTTAATTACATTATATTATTATAGGTACATGATAAACTCAAAAAGCACTGCTTATTTTGCTGCATTGTAATTGTAATCCCACCGATCCTACGCCACCCAGCCCGCTCCGAGCTGGAATCGAGCCGGCGACCTTCCGCATGGGAGTCAGTTGCTCTACCAAGGAGGCTAAAGACCATGACCTCTAGCATCTGTCGCTAGAGCACCCTTATAGCTTTACCTGCACAGCTCTTTACTAACCGGCCTCCGCTACATATTCATTTTATACTGTATTTAGCTTTCATATTTATTTGACAGTGCATTTTACTGAGCATATCATAAACTGAAATGTACCGAAACCGTGATCTCAAACCCAAAACCAAACTAAGAGAAGTCTCAGTACTGTTAACTACTGTTGCAATGTTCAAAGTTTAAGCACATCATCGTTTTTCCATTAAACATTTCTTATGCGATTCTTCCCAAATGCACATGAAAAGAGGTGGATGTAAACACAGCTACTAAAGAAGTGCTTCAGGGCTTTATTTCAGGCCTGCTGCAGTTTTCAGAAGCACTTACAGCTGTACGTCCAGCAGGACCCGTTTGTCCTCCCCGACGTGGATCCTCCAGCTGCAGTCTTCACCCTCACCGTACCATTCAGGCCAGTTCGGGGACAGAATGACTCCACTGGGGCCCGACAGATCACCACCACACAGAGCTGTGGAGACAGACACACACACACACACACACCCAGACAAAGAGAGAGAGAGAGAGAGAGAGATTAGTACTATACTAATTTCATTAGTGTGCACCCAATACAGCAGGGGTGGCCAACCATGTTCCTGGAGAGCCACCTTCCTGCAGATTTCAGCTGGAATCCATATCAAACACACCTGAACCAATTAATTAGGACCTGAACACCACGTGATAATTACAGGCAGGTGTGTTTGATATGGGTTGCAACTGAAATCTGCAGGAAGGTGGCTCTCCAGGAACAGGGTTGGCCACCCCTGCAATACAGCACCAGTCGGTCTTGAGAATGACAGACTCAAGTCCTGCACAGCGATCAGAGGGATATCATTCTTCTTCAAAATGGTGTTCAGGTCACTACATGATGCTGGAGGAGGAAAACCTTTCCTAACTTGCTCGTCCAAAACACCCCAAAGTGCTCAATAATGTTTGGTTCTGGTGACTGTGCAGGCCATGGGAGATGTTTAACTTCACTTTAATGCTAATCAAACCACTCTGTCTCCAGTGTTGCTGTGTGTATTGACTGCTTGCACAAGCTTTTTCTACTCTGCCCACAAATTTTCTACAGGATTGAGATCAGGGCTTTGTGATGGCCACTCCAAAACATTCCCTCAGTTGTCCTTAAAGCACATTTGTCCTAATTTGGCAGTATTCTCAAAAGTCTTTTGGGAACACCCATTTGTGGCCAAGTTATAATTTCAACCCAGGCTCATTCTGAAAATGTAGTCCCCTGGACGTTTCTGGAGTCCACAAAATACGTCCCGGGAGGTGCATCATTTTGGAGTTTTTGTTTTTGCGAATGCACGAGAGGCTGCTGTGTGCACTTTTTCATATCTCAAATGTCTCTCATGAGTGCCATTTGCGCCCGTGCTGTTCTCCCGTAAACCCACCAGAGGCCGCTGTCGAACAACCGTCTGTCTGACTGACTAAGTGATTGCCTGGGCGACCGGCCAATCGGCTGACCCACCTTCCTCCTTCCCTAAACCAAACCAATTTTACAGATTGACCTGCCCACCCGCTTACTTCCCTAAACCCAACCAACAATTCACAAAAGCCAAACAAAAAAAAAAAAAGCCCTCGTCTGATTTTTACCACGTTTTCGGATTTTATCACATTCTCACCCTGTCATGAACTCGTTCACTTTATTTTTTGAATTCTGTTTTTTGTTTCTGATTTCTGGAACTGCTCTTCCCCAGACTCGAACCCGGTCATCGTCGCCGTCGTGCTAACTGGACAACCTGGTTGCGGCGGGAAAGCCTTCCACACGGAGGTAAGCGGTCAGCCGGTATTCGCAAAAAGGAACGCCGTCATGCCACCCCATAGCGTTCGCTTAAAAAATGAAATGCAGCCATACGTACCTCCTTCTACATAATTCGCAGTCTCCAGAAATGTTCACAGGACTACGTTTTCAGAATGAGCCCGTGTTGTTTAATGTCTTGGCTGATGTGTTGAGATGTTGCTTCAGTATTTCTCCATAATGTTCTGTCTTCATGATGCCATCTATGCTGTGAGGTGGACCAGTCCCTCCTGCAGCAAAACAGCCCCACAACATGATGCTGCCACCCCCATACTTCACAGTTGGGATGGTGTTCCTAGGCTTGTGCGCTTTCCCCTTTGTCCTCCAAATGTAACACTGCTCATTATGGCCAAACAGTTCAATCTTAGCTCCATCAGAGCACAGGACATGTCTCCAAACATTAATCTTTTCCCCAGTGTCATTATCTAATTGTAATCTGGCTTTGTTGTTGATTCTGGCTTGTTGATTCTCCATGTTGTCACAGAAGGAAGCAGTGTGTTTGAGCTTATCCTTCAATACTATTCTACAGTTGTGCCTCACATTAACTCAAATGTTGTCAATTAGCCAATCAGAAACTTCCAAAACCCTGACATCATCATCTGAGCTTTATCAGAGGCCGAATAATCTTATTGTGTGTAAACTTGACTTTCAAGAAGAGTTAGAACAATTTCCCAAACAAATCTCTCTCTCATTATTCTGTTATTAAGCAGAACAGAAACACATCTGATCATCCTAACTTACCTAAAAGAGAAAGAGTTCAGTCACAGTAACATCTGACTGTCTTTAAATTGGTTATGTGCCTTTTTATACAGTGGATGTATGCTTATGCTTTCAACTGCACATAAATTACACAAACTCAAATGAAAAAAACATATAATAATGCCATTATTAACATATTAATTATAATTATGCACACAATATCACATATCTATCAAAATTTGCATCCACATACATTATTAACTATTAAGATAATTACCCAAAATGTAAAATGCATTCAGTCATGGTCACAATCTTCTGTCTAGTATTATTCTTCACTTCTGTCTGTTCTGCTCCCCGCATTTGTGAATCTCCATGCTACGCGGTGTTAATTGTGAAATTAATTGCATGCGACACCCGAATGATAACAAGCATGTGTAACTGCAGCATGTGTGGTTGACCAGCGTTCGTCTGTTATCCACCACTGACCTGCTGTCAGTCTCAGAAAACCTGCTTTAAGCAGCTGAAGAGGAATTACAGCAGGGTTAAACACGTGTTAACAACAACAACTGCACCAGCTCTGATCATCAGGTCAACATGTGTGAACATTAGTCAGACGGCAGAGGACAAGCTGAACAGCACTTCATACATCAAAGCACATTATCATACCATTTACATCTGACGCAATTACCAGAGCATAATTAGAGAAAGCGGACTAATAAGCTTCAGCCCATGACATTTAGCAGAGGATCAATGATATCCTTTAGTACTGTGTATGTTCTGCATCAAATCCAAATAGTGCAATATTCTATTGTTAGCATGAAAGGTGAACAAATAATTAAGATAATCTCCTCAATCTCCCCTTTTTTCCAACCCAAGCTCATTCTGGAAACGTAGCCCCGCGGACGTTTCTGGAGGCCGCGATTTACGTGGCCGGAGGTACGTACGGCCGCGTTTAGTTTTTAGCAGTGTGGCGCCACTCCGCTCCTCCTCTTCGCGCTCGCTGGCCGACGGCTCGCCTCCTAGTGGAGGGCTTTTCTGATGCAGCCAGTTTGTCCGCTTAGCTCACAGCATTGCATCGGCAGAGCGGAGGCCCTGGAGGAGGAGGATCCGGCCGCGGAGACGACGATCGGGATCGAGTCCGGGGAACAGCAGGTTCCGGAAATCAGGTAAGATGAAAAACAGAATCCGAAAAATAAGGGCGGGAACGCGGCGCGATCCGAAAACGCGGTCGAAATCGAAGACGAAGGCTTTAGCTTTTTTTTTTCTTTCTGGACGGCTTTTGGAAACCGTCGCTTGGGTTTAGGGAAGGAGGAGGAGGAAGAGGAGGGCGCCCGGGTCGGCCAATCCAGCGGCTTTTCGCGTGAAAACAGCGTGGGTGCGAACGGCGCGCGCTCCCGAGAGGCACCCGAGACGCGAAAAAGCATGCACAGCGGCCTCTCGCGGATCCGCGAAAACAAACACCGCTCGAATACGTACTTCCCGGGACGTATCACGCGGTCCACAGAAATGTTCGCGGGGCTACGTTTCCACAATGAGCCCGGGTTGCTTTTTTCAGTTTAATTATGAAAATTTGCATTTGAATGTTCTTATATTATTTATTATCTGCAGATTTATATTTGTTTTAATAAACACAAGTGTAGATGTGTCCAGCTGTGGGGTTTTGGAGACGTCTGCATCAGCATATGGGGCATAAGAGCAGGACGTGTGTTTGGATATAACTCAGTTTTCTGAGCACACTTCATTATTATTGTTCATTTATTCCTTTGCTGGAGATTAGAACTGAATTTAGAAACAGTTTAGACACAAATCTTTGTGTTTAATAAAGGAAATTAAATATGTAGGCTACTGGATGTGTTCAGTGGAGTGAGTTTCCACCGTTTCCTCACTCCACCAAAGTAAAGGAGTAAAGTAAAGGAGTAAAGTAAAGAGGCTGAATGGAGGAGGCTCGTTCTTTATTCTCGCGCTGCAGATGCTCTGTTTAACTGTTTTCTAACTAGTGAAGCGTTCAGTTTTTACACTTACAAAGTCCACAACATGTTTTTGACATCAGTTTTGGGCCGGAGGGAAGAGGAAGGAGAGCTGCAAATGACCTGCAGGCTGGCAGTTTGCCGTTTGAGACCCCTGCTCTAACGAAATGATGCACATGCTGTTTCCTGGTCAGTAATACACTGATTGTGAATGTGAGCAGATACAAACCTTTACAGAGCGGCTCGGTGTCGTTCCAGTAGGGGTCTCGTGTGTTTATGCACTCGATGACGGGCGGGCCCTGCTCCAGAGAGTGTCCCGGGTCACAGCTGAACTGAACTACCGTCCCCACACCGTACGCCGTGTCCGTCGTGCTGAAGTTTCCATTCTGAATATACGGTTCGTAGCAGTGGCCTTTCTCGAACGCTGGACAGGAAAAGCCACAATACAATAAACATGTCAAAGAAACATGATAGATTTATTAGCCTTAAAGGCACAGTTCCCAAAAATGTAAATTCTGTCATCATTTATTGATCTTCCACTTGAGTATCTTTCTTTTTATCTCAATAATTACCCCCCCCCCCCACACACAAATATATTATCAAAACAATGAAATTCATACATTTTTAGATAAAAACATGAATGCTTTTAAAAACATGTTGGAAAATAATGCTAATGTTTTTGATAGAGTACTTTACATGAGTAGTCTGTTATTATATTCTCGTTTGATCATGCTGACATAAGAGCATTTGTATGAAAAGATTGATAATTATGTGACTGTCTATTATATATGTTTTTTTTTAATCATCATCATGTTTTAATGCATTGTAATTCGATATTTTAAATGTCTTTTAAACAAGCCTCACTTGGACGTGTCGAAAGTCTGCAATATAACTGTCGATGTAATTTGCAGATGATCCCTATCACTGCGTGCATGTATGTCTGGCGAATATGAAACCTAAAACCAACTGTACCGAGCTGATTTAGCTGTCTTTCAAAGATTTTAGTACTGACAAGTTGTTAACGTCACAAGACCTAATACAGTACACTATACGACTTCATCACAAGGCCTACCACACTTACGCTGCAGTTTCTCTGCCCACTCAGGAAGCCCACGACTCCTGCTGCGAAGTTTGACGTTTGGTTCTCCTGTGTCCCGTGTTCCTCTTGCTCTACCAATGCAGCAGCTGCTTCACATAAAAGCTGACTAACAGTTTTTGCCATTTTACTTCTGTTATACTGTATTTACACTAGTAACTCACGCTGTCCCATCCAAGAATACCGTGCTTCTGCCCTCGGGCTCTGTGTGTGAAAGCACTCGACGTCACTCGAATACGCCCCTCCCACTGATTAGCATAGGCTTTGCATACAGCTTTAAGTTGAAAATGAAATCGAAAATGAAAACTGAAATGAAAAAGTGTCAATAAAAGGAAAGCTTAAATTTACATTTTCATTTGAATTGTGTCACTATTATAGCGTGAACATTAATAACACGCTGTGTAAAAATTGTGTTTGCATTTTATTTTTCAGTTTGGCTTTTCATTTTAATATTGGCAGTCTTGATGCGGAAATGCAGGGAAAATGAAATGTTAAATCGGCAACTTCATTTTAATTATCAGTTTGACAGGGACGATGTGTTGTCAAAGTGAAAATTAAAACTAAATAATTTCATTTAATTTTCATTTCCAATGTTTATTTGATTTATTTAAAATTGGCAGGATTTACCTTCCATATTTAACGTCCAAGTGGGATAAATACTGTAAATATTTTTAGTCCATTGCACATTGAATTGAATCTACTCGGTGCATTGTCAGCCTACCTTCAAATCGTATATTGAAGCCGGTGTTGTGGCTGTTCGGCTGGTCTGTTATAAACTGAACCCGAACTGCCGGACCTTCGCTGATCACTCCCTCAAATGGGATCGGACCTCCACGTCCAGAATCAAACAGGACCACCGAACCAGCGTCGAGACCACTCCATAACACAAGCCTAAATCATGGAGGAAGATTTACTCACCTTTGGTTATGTTGGGGGCTGTTTGTGCCCCATTGACTTCCATTATAATCACATTAATTGATTGCAAAGCCATGACAGCAGATAATCATGCATTACTGATTGCTGCTGATTTACCCTGTTAGGATTAAGAGGTAACATTTGTCATTTTACTGTTGATCATCAGTTGTCATCATTATCCCTTTAGATGGGTCCAACAGTGAAAACCAGCACCAATCAAGAGTGCCATGGCTTTGCAATCAATAAATGTGATTATAATGGAAGTCAGTGGGACAAAAACAAACCAACATAACCAAAGGGGAGTCAGTCTGAACGACACAGAGATTTGTAATCCAAAAATGTGATTATAATGGAAGTCAATAGGGCAAAAACAGCCCCAACATAACAATTCTAGCAGAGCTGTCGTAGGAGAAGCATGCATTGATGTTGATGGTACCTGGGTTTACCTGTCTGTGGTGCCCAACACCATTCTCTCCAGGTGTAGGTGCAGCCGCTGGCCGCTTGGAGCCTCCAGAGACCATGAGCAGCTGCGGTCCAGAGTGCTGTTGGGGCCTGAATGGGGTGAGGGGGACAACACTCGTCCCACTGTTGCGTTCTTAACAACACCGCCACACAGAGCTGGACGAGAACATATGGAACATTGCATTAATAAGCTAACTATAATACTGTCTTATACTGGGTGGTTGTGAAAACTCTGAGAGTTTGTTTCTGTGTTATTGTGTTCAGGGTCTGTCAAGTGTTGCTAAGGTACTGAAAGGTTGGGTGGTTTCCAGGTTGTTGCTAAATTTTATAAGAAGCTGTTGCAGTATTGTTATGGTGTTCTTGGTGGTTGCCAGGGTGTTGCTAAGTTTATAAGAAGTTGTTACTATGTTGCTATGGTGTTCTGGGTTGTTGCCAGGGTGTTGCTAAGTTTATAAGAAGTTGTTACTACGTTGTTATGATGCTCTGGGTGGTTGTCAGGGTGTTGTTACGATTATTAGAAGTTGTTACTAGATTGCTATGGTGTTCTTGGTGGTTGCCAGCGTGTTTCTATGTTTATTAGAAGTTGTTACTATGTTGTTATGCTGTTCTGTGTGGTTGCCAGGGTGTTGCTAAGTTTATAAAAAAATTACTGTGTTGTTCTGGTGTCTTAGGTGGTTGCCAAGGTGTAGCTAAGTTTATAAGAAATTGTTACTATGTTGCTATGGTGTTCTGGGTTGTTGCCAGGGTGTTGCTAAGTTTATAAGAAGTTGTTACTATGTTGCTATGGTGTTCTGGGTGGTTGTCAGGGTGTTGCTAAGTTTATAAGAAGTTGTTACTATGTTGCTATGGTGTTCTGGGTGGTTGTCAGGGTGTTGCTAAGATTCTTAGAAGTTGTAATTGTGTTGTCATGATGATCTAGGTGGTTGTTAGGGTGTGTTTTAGGTTCTGGAAAGTTGTTACTCTCCTGTTATGTTGTTCAAAATGGTTAACAGGGTGTTGCTAAGGTTCAGATATGTTGTTACTTTATTGATATTATGTTCTGGGTGGTTGCCAGGGTGTTCTTAGGTAATTGATCAGGTTCTAAGTGGTTGTTATGGTGTTGCTAGGTTTCTTTGATGTTATGGTGCTGTAGGTGGTTGTGAGAGCATTGTAAAGGTTCTGATAGGTTGTTGTGTGAATATTGTGTAAACTGTTGTGAGGGCTTTGATAGATAGTTGGTTAGATTGTTCCTAATGCTGATCATACACTTTTTGAGCAATGTTGCTGGGCAGTTTTGCAAGGCAATGTTGTTTAAATGCTTTTCTATTAAGAATGTGCAACAACATCGTATCTGTATCCCATTGCCCTAATTAGTTACCCCATATCTTACCTGGTTACCCATTTATGGAATCATTTCCGTAGCATTGCTAAAAAAGTTGCCCTTTGTATCATCAGCATTAGGTTGTGAGGTGTTATTGGATTGCAATGTGGTTGCTAAGGTGATCTTTAGTCTAGGCGTTGGTTGTGTTCAGCATATGTCTGACCTCTGCAGCTGGGCTCATGCTGGCTCCAGACGGGCAGCGAGGCGTTCAGGCAGGTGAGAGTGGCGTCCCCCTGCAGGTGATATCCCATGTGACACTGGAAATGAGCCGTTCCTCCAGGATGCAGATCTTTGACTGACACCTCACCAAAATGAGGCCGTCGAGGTAGAGCACAACTCAGCCGAAAAACTGGAGAAGAAACACTCAGTCATCCTTTAAAACATCTCCATTTACACCATCTAAGTACATGAAGACATCTCTGCAGAGTGGACTTATCCTTTAATCATTTATGAGGGAAATGAATGCTAATTCGACTGCGCATGAGAAAAACTCTGTGAAATGAGCCCTGGAGTAAAACTTCACTACATTAGCCTGTTAATGGACACGGCAGAAGCTATCTAGTTTGATAGCAAAGCAAATTAACCAAGCAGAGACTTTTTCAATTAAAAGTTTAGAGGCAAACTCTCCGCAACAACACTGAGGCTTCCAGACGAGGAGCGCTTTTATCATTTCCACGCACGCACCTGTGGAATTCATTAGCATAATATTATATAAACACCCCAGTTGTGTGTGATGAGTGATTATAAGGCCCAGAGCTGCTGTTTAGTGCTTAATGGGTTGTTTTGAGACTGACTCTGATAGTGCAGCTGGAACAGGCCGACTCCTCCCTCTGGAGACGAGCGGTAAAACACCGACAGCGTATTGGTCGGACTGCGGATCACCTGACCCTCCACCAGAAGTGTCTGATTGGCCAGAACGAGCAGGGCTCCGCCTTCATCTACTCCTCTGATTGACAGCTGCTCGCCCTCTGACAGGTTCACACTTTTCACCTGCAATAAAGCAAAGACAAATCAGGGAAACTCACATACACACTATACAGTATGCAGAACATGTACAACCCCAAATCAGAAAAGGTTGGGACAGTATGGAAAGCACAAACAAAACAAGTAGTGATTTCCACATTTACTTTGACTTGAGGCAGACGATATGAACACATAATATTTGATGTTTTGTCTGGTCAGCTTCATTTCATTTGTAAATATTCCTCCATTCCTGTCATTCAGACCCGCAACACACTCATACACAAGTTGTGTCAGGAGTAGTTTAGGGCTGGTAATCAGGTAAACTGCTGAAATAATGATGTGGTGTGACACAGGTGATGTCAACAGCCTAAGCTGAACAACTGTGATCTCCGATCCCACAGGGGGCGCTGCATCAAGAATCCTCACTCATCCAATAACCAGAACACCACATGGGCTCAGAATTACTGCGGAAAACTTTTGTCAAGTACCATAATACAGAGTTACATCCACAAACGCCAGTCAAAACTGTACTGTGCCAAAAGGAAGCCTGAGGGCTCTCTTACCCAGACTCGGCCCTCAGGTAAGTTGAGTTTGAGACCCCTGGTTTAAACCATCGAGCGGAAAGCTTTAATTCCGAATTGATTCCTGCCTCATCCTTGATCAGTCGCGCACATTACATTTGCGTCACCTAAATGTTACAGCATCTCACTTAAACATCATAAACTCACAACATTTCGTTTAAGACTGTTTGTCGATATGCATGCGAATGCGATCAGCAAGACTGATAACTGTTCGTGCAAGTAAAAGAAAGCAGGTGAACACCGAATCAAGGGGGTTCAGGTGGTGAGTGAGACAGGCTCTCCTCACTTACTGATGAGGGTTTCAGTGTCGTACACACAGCTAATGTCATGAGCAAGAGGGTTTAAGAGCTCCCGCATCCTTGCGCAAAGCAACCATGCCTGGAAATGCAACTGGTGGGATCGGTTGTCTTTAAAAAAAAAAAGCATGAACAAACTACGATGCATTTTAGATACGACAATCATTTTTTAAATGTCTATTGTTTTCCTTAAGGACAGTTTCATTCATTCATTTATTTTCTTGTCGGCTTTGTCCCTTTAACTAGGGTCGCCACAGTGGAATGAACCACCAACTTATCCAGCAAGTTTTTACGCAGCGGATGCCCTTCCAGCCGCAACCCATCTCTGAGAAACATCCACACATACACACACACACTACGGACAATTTAGCCTACTCAATTCACCTGTACCACATGTCTTTGGACTGTGGGGGGAACCGGAGCACCCGGAGGAAACCGTTTTGACAGATTATTTAATAGTTGTGACAAAGAAATTAGTTTGGTGTGGCCGGAGGAGAAAAAATATATAAAACAAAAAATCTGTAAATCCTGCGTCACGGTGGCGCAGTGGGTAGCACGATCGCCTCACAGCAAGAACGTCGCTGGTTCAAACTCTAGCTGGATCAGTTGGTGTTTCTGTGTGGAGTTTGCATGTTCCCCCCGTGTTGGCGAGGGTTTCCCCTACAGTCCAAACACATGCGCTATAGGGGAATTGAATAAGCTAAATTGTCCGTAGTGTATGTGTGTTAATGGGAGTGTATGGGTGTTTCCCAGTGGTGGGTTGCAGTTGGAAGGACGTCCACTGTGTAAAACATATGCAGGATAAGTTGGCGGTTGATTTCTGCTGTGGCGACCCCTGATTAACAAAGGGATTAATCGAAAAGAAAATGAATGAATCCATAGTGTTGAGGCCGGAAAATTCATGTGAAATAAGAGCTAATCGCAACGTGACACTATGAAGCCACAAGCCACTTGCTCGTGCACACTGAGCAAGCTCACACACAACACAAAAGGAGGCATGTGAACATAACACAACATCTAAATCAAGTAATAATAGTAGAGTATTTTGATTAAAAAAGCCTCTGAATTTCAAGTAGATTTTCCATCATATCCCAGCCAGCATGGATTATCCACATCTCATGAGGACGAGTGTGTGTACATAGCAAATTAATTGGAAGTGTTTTAATCCCTCGACACACACACACAGACACACACAAGGCCCATGGCTGTGATTACAGTGGTAATTAGAGATTATGTCATTGGTGTGAATCCTCCGCAGAGGGAGAACGGACATGGACACGGGATTACATTGGTTTGCATGCGGACACATCAGTCCCGTTTGTCTCATTAATATCTGTGCGTGTGTCTCCGTCTCTCTGGGATTATCTGAAGCACTCAGCTCCAGTAATTATAGCTGTGCAGAAACACTGTTGTCCACTAGAGGGAGCATCAGTCGTCTCAGGGTTTCACCCATCTGAGTGTGTCCAGAAATTTGGAAAAATGTCCAGGGTTGCCAAGTGATCAACACAGCTTTGCAATTTCCAAGGGCTACTTATTAACACTTGCACGGGGAGATTTTTTGATTTGTGGATTAAAGGTATGACAGATACTTTATATTTTATTTTATATTACTGTTAAATATATTATTATTCATTACTTAATATTAATTATGATTTGTATGCAATTTATATTATTTTTACATATTAATTATATTAGATTTTATTTTTATTATTTTTTATTATGTTATTGCATTCATTATTTAAATATTATTACATATATTATTATTATTAATTAATTATTTTAAACTGTATATAATTGTTTAAAATAACTTATTTTATTAATTTATGCTATTTATTTTTTATTGTGTTCATTATTTGAATATTTATTTACATTTAATACATTTAAAATCAATATTTACATTTAATTAATACAATTAAGTAAAATTTTTACATTTAATAACTAATATTAATTATGACTATTATGTATTTTATATTATTGTTGCATATATTATTATTCATTATTTTATATTAATTAAGATTATTATATATATTATGTTATTGTTACATATATTATTAATTATTTCATAATGTATTTATTTTCTATTATTAGTTTTTATTGTTATTTTTATGTTATTGTATAACTTATTTAAATATTTATTTGAACTAGTATTTAATATTTTTTATGATTATCGTGTATTTTATATTATTATTACATATATTATTATTATTATTTTTTTTTTCTAAAATGTTTATAATTGTTTAAAAAACTATTATTTTAATAATTTTATTATGTTTATTATGTTATTTATTTTTTATTTTATTAATTATTTTAATATTTATTCACATTTAATTCATTTAATAATTAATACTCACATTTAATTATATGAAGTTAAATTTTTACATTTAATTATTATGATTATTATTATTATTATTAATATTATTAAGTATTTTATACATTTATGTGTCCAGAAAAATGGAAAACTGGAACTAGTAATAAAAAGCAGGTAAAACTTGCAGAATTTGTACTTTGTTTATTATTCTGCATTAACTAGGATTTGCTTCGCATGTGCCCTTTTGTTTTTGTTTTTTTCTTCTCCTTTCTTTATATAACCTTGGAATAATATTTTAAATGTGAGTCATATTTCCCTTATTGTTTAAAAGTTATTTTTGTATGGTTTGTACTATATTTTTGTCTTGTACATTGTTAATGTTTTGTTGCAATAATAAAAAGGAAATATGGAAAAATAGTGTCCAGGGTTGCCAAGTCCACATTTTTAAAAATTTAGAAAACGTAGTTTGATTCAACTCAATAAGGCAGTGAGAAATTTTTACACTGTAGTTTTGTTAGCGAGAACCTGGCAACCATGAAAATTGGATTGCATGATAAACGGAATTTGACATGACTAGAAAAGTTAATTCCATCCAACTTAAAAAAGGGAGCAAGAATTTTTTTCTATAGTTTTGTTGCAAAAATATGGCAACCCTAAATATGGGAATGTATGATTGATTAAGTTGACATGAGTAAAAAAAAAAGATAATATGATTCAACTGAAAATAAGGGAGCAATAATGTTTTTACAGTGTAGCTTTGTGGTGAAAACCTGGCAACCCTGAAAAAATGGGATTGCACATTTGATGAAAGTTGACATGACTAGAAAAGGTAATATTAATCAGCTCAAAAATAAAACAGCAAGAATGTTTTTTACAATGTAAAAATGTTGCAAATATTATTATTCATTACTTTATATTAAGATTATTAAATATATTATTCAGCTAAAAAAAAAGGCAGCAAGAATGTTTTTAAAGTGTAGTTTGGTGGCGAAAATCTGGCAACCCTAAAAATTGGATCCCATGATTGATGTAAATTAACATGACTAGAAAAGTAATTTGATTCAACTCAAAAATAAGGCCGCAACAATTTTTACACTGTAGTTTTTTTTTTTTTTTACAAAAACCTGGCAACCCTAAAAATAGAATTGCATTGCAGGAAAAAAGCTTGTTAGACAGCAGATTGCATTTTTTTTTACAGTGTAATTTTGTGGCGAAAACCTGGCAACCCTAATATATTATTGCATGGTTGATGTAAGTTGACTAGAGCATGACTAGAAAAATGTATTTGACTTAACTAAAAATAATGCAGCAAGAATTGTTTACGGTGTAGTTTTGTGGCGAAAACCTGGCAACCATGAAAATTGGATTGAATAACTGACGTAAGTTGACATGATTAGAAAAGTTAATATTATTCAGCTCAAAATAAGGCAGAAGTTTTATACAATGTAATTAAGTTGAGAAAACCTGGCAACCCTGAAAATGGGACTGCATTGCAGAAAAAAAAGCTTGTCAGGCAGCAGATTACATTTTCTTACAGTGTAGTTTTGTGGCAAAAACCTGCACAACTGATGTAAGTTGACATAACTAGAAAAGTTCATTTGAATCAACTAAAAATAGGGCAGTAAGAATGTTTTTTACAGTGTAGTTTTATTGTGAAAACCTGGCAACCCTGAAAATGGGATTGCATTGCAGGAAAAAAAGCTTGTTAGGCAGCAGATTGCATTTCCAGAGAACTCCCTGCGGGCCGCGTGCTGCGGTCGGTGTTCTGCAGCTGCTTATTTGTTGAATTACACAGTCTATTAGCATATGATTTAAAGAGACTCAAGCATTAACAGGTGCCCGTTCAGTCAAACACACACGCCGCAGTTTGTCACTTCACCTGAATTGTGATTAATGGAAGCAATAAATTCAGTCTAGCTTTAACTCTTTCCCTTCCACTGAGGAGAAAACTCAGCAATTAGGAGAAAACGCTTCCCTGCCGTTGATGAGATTTTACAGAAATCTGTGTTGAACAGATGTTGAACAGATTGAGGAATTTTGCACAGTATTTCCTCTAATATTTGTTCTTCTGGAGAAAGTCTTATTTGTTTTATTTCAGCTAGAATAAAAGCTTTTTTTACTTGTTTTAAACACATTTTAAGTTCAATATTATTAGCCCCTTTAAGTTTAAGTCAATATTAGTTTTGGATTATCTCCAAAACAAACCACTGTTATACAATGTTATATGTAAAGTAAAGTAAAAGGTGAAGTGAAGTGAAGTGAAGCAAATTAAAGTGAAGTGAAGTAAAGTGAAGTAATGAAATGTATGGTAAGGTAAGGTAAAGTAAGGTAAAGTAAGGTAAAGTAAAATAAGTAAAGTAATGTAAAGTAAAGTAAATTAAAAGTAAAGTAAAGTAAAGTAAAAGTAATGTAAAGTAAAAGTAAAGTAAAAGTAAAGTAAAGTAATGTAAAGTAAAAGTAAAGTAAAGTAAAGCAAAAGTAAAAGTAAATTAAAGTAATGTAAAGTAAAGTAAAGTAAAAGTAAAGTAAAAGTAAAGTAAAAAGTAAAGTAAAGTAAAAGTAAAGCAAAAGTAAAAGTAAATTAAAGTAAAGTAAAAGTAAAAGTAAAGTAAAGTAAAGCAAAAGTAAAAGTAAAGTAAAGTAAAGCAAAAGTAAATTAAAGTAAAGTAAAAGTAAAAGTAAAAATAAAGTAAAGTAAAAGTAAAGTAAAGTAAAAGTAAAGTAAAGTAAAGTAAAGTAAAAAGTAAAGTAAAGTAAAGTAAAAGTAAAGCAAAAGTAAAAGTAAATTAAAGTAAAGTAAAAGTAAAAGTAAAGTAAAGCAAAGCAAAAGTAAAAGTAAAAGTAAAAGTAAAAGTAAAAGTAAAAGTAAAAGTAAAGTAAAGTAAAGTAAAGTAAAAGTAAAAGTAAAGTAAAGTAAAGTAAAGTAAAGTAAAGTACCTGCAGCTCGACGCCGTATCCAGTGTAAACGCTGATGGTGTAGATGCACTGCAGGAGTGCTCCGTCTGGAAGTGGCGGCTCGTCTGAGGAGTCGATGTAACCCTCCGGCTCGCTGAAATTCACCCTGCAGTTTGATTGAGCTGGAGGAAAATAGCAGATATTACACAACAACATATCAGACACTACATTACATTTAATTAACATCTGCTCCACCAACACCAACTAAACCCACCAACTTGTGGTTTAAGTCCCTCATTCTTGGAGTTTACCAAATCTTCTTGCTGTGTAAGCCCCCTTACTTGGAGATCTCAAGGCTGCAGCAACACCTACTTGTCTCTGAACACACAACACGTCCAAGCTTGAGCTTGTGCCGCTCCTGTCAGCTAAGAACAGGAAACTGAGGCTACAATTCACACAGCCTCACCAAAACTGGACAATAGAAGATTGGAGAAACGTTGCTGCTCTGATGAGTCTCCATTTCTGCTGACACATTCGGATGCTCGGCTCACAATTTGGCCTCAACAACATGAAAGCATGGATCATCCTGCCTTGTATCAGCGGTTCAGGCTGGTGGTGGTGGTGTAATGGTGTGGGGGAGATTTTCTTTGGGTCCATTAGTACCAATTGAGCATCAACGCCACAGCCTACCTGAGTATTGCTGCTAGGCAACAATAAGGCAGTTCTGAAGGCAAGAGCGGGTCCAACCTGGTACTAGTAAGGTGTACCTAATAAAGTGGCCGGTGAGTGTATGTTTGCAATGAGGCAACAAATTTTTATCAAGCAAAAATTATCAGCTGAAAATTGCCAAAAATATGTTTGTTTGGCCAGCTCAACTCTAGTCTTACCTGTGGTGAAAGCAGCAGTCAGTGTTTCTGGGTTAACATTGACCGAGGGCTGGGTTGGTGAGCTTGGTTCATCCGTGACCCAGCGGGGCGTCTCCACAGGCTCTGGAGGTTCGGTGGGCAGCTCGTCTGGGCGCCCAGTGCTGTCATGTGCAGGGAAAATCCTCCTCATTTCAGGCGACAGAGCATCAGCTCCAACCCCCAAACCCTTCCCCAGCATGGGCATCAGGTCAGGGGGTAAAGCGCTGGGTAGAGTCACTCCCGTCTGGGCCAGAAGATGATCCTTGTGAGACAGGACCGACTGGAGGAGCTCCTGCCCAACAGAGGCAGCTCCTCTGGGGGGATCTCTGGGTGCTGGAGCCTGCATTGCTGGAGCCAGACTGGGCAGAGGAGTCACCGTCGACACATCTGCAGGAGGAGGAAGAGTAAAGTTGTTATTGAGTTTATAAATAAGTTGTCATGAGCTTAAAAACTAATTTGTACGGATATTTGTGCATGCTAAAAAAATAATTAGACCTGATTTTGGGTGAATAACTATGTTTCCATGCAAAGATGCAAGCAAAACTGTAATGCATTTGTGAATAAAGCAGTGTTTCCATCCAATGAGAAACAAAAGAGAAGTAAATTGTCACTTCCTGATAAACTGGTGGCAAATTTCTGTAAAAAGTAAACAAAACAAGTAAACACACAAGTAGTGTGATGCATTGTTGGGATTTGCCACTGCTGTGTTTTTCCTTCTCTAATATACGAGTTGCACCTCAGAAGATGAAGACGCAATGCAATAATTGTTTCTTAAATGATAATAAAAAGTTTATGCACACATGAGTGCAGTTAATGCTACAGGGTAATTATCTTCAATCCAGGCCATTTCTCACAAGATAAAAGTCAACACGGGCTTCTCTCAGCTCTTTTCTACACAACAGATGCTCTGATTGGATCAGAAATTGGTGCGTTCGTTGATGAGAGTCGGGGTGTGTGTGTAAGATGTTTACTTTGAGTCTATTCAGATGCGTTCCCAAATTAGGTAAAGAAAAAGATGCGTGCGTAAGTTTACACCCCCTTATAGAAAAAGCAGAATTCAGTCATTTAAAGGGGAAAATGTCCTGTTGTTTTTACTTTGTTGTGTTAAACACTATGCTTCCATCATAAAGATGTGCATTAATAACTCATAAATATTTTATGAGGTATGCATTTTAGTCCAATGAGAAACGAGAAGAACCTCACTTCCTGCTAAACACAGCACAGATATCACTGAGAGAAGTGGAGTTTGCAGCACGGTTGGGATTCTCCACGGAGGTGTTTGTTCTCCTCTAATAAATGAGCTGCACCTCAAAACACGAAGTGAACGCGGTGGCTTTTGGAGGCGTGAGCACAGACAGATGCTCAAGAAAGTTCTGGATGGAATAATAATAGAAGAATAATACTGAAGCACTGTGATGACGGACTGACATAGGGCTGAGGCCTTTTACAATCAGCACAACAACACTTCACATCTGCAACAATGGAGAGCTGGACACATGGAGATCTGCAGACCAACATTAACCATTTGACTGCCCCTCTACCAAACGGTTGACCATGTTTTTACTGTTTTAAATAACGACTGCTTTAAACAACGGTTTATATACACAGCATTGCTGGTTTACACATAAAATAAATAAATAAATAAATCCTGTCGCACTACTACACTGGATTTCGGTTTTATTGTAAAAACAAAACAAAACAAGAAAGCATGTAAATGAGAATCTGAAATATTTTATGGCATACTTCAAAAAATAAAGATGATTAATGGCGAGTTCAGACTGCGGGATTTTAGCCCTGATTTTGACTCGCCGTCAGGTTTCGAGAAATCGCTGACAAATGCCTGAAATCACAGCCAAATCGGTGCTCGTGCATGTGAGTGACAATCACACAGTGTGAACGATCAAAGACGCGATCTGAGAGAATCACCGATGTGTCGCCGATGCCTGTGAGATATTTGGCGTCCTGAATATCTGCTTCAGTCGGCGATTCAAATCATGCTGTGTGAAATGAGTTTTGACTGAAAATAACATCAGCGATCACCAACAGCCAATGTGTCACCGACTCGGTCCCAGTCATTCCTCTCGCTGGCCAGCAGAGGCCGCCATCCCTGGACTTCTAAGCATTACATCATCCACATAGACTGATCTGAATCCCGGTAGCGACCCACGCTCCCTATATAAGCCACACTCAAACAACAGTTCAGTGCGAAGTCTTGTTCAGCCACGGCCAACATTTCTAAGCGTTATTCCCTGCCTGATCTTCTGTGCATCACCCCGGACTGTTTCTGACTCTGAGTTGCCTTCTGCCTGCCCTCGACCCTCGCTTGTTACACGGACTCTGAACCACGCTGCCTGCCCTCGACGCACGCTTGTTATAAGGACTCTGAACCACGCCGCATGCCCTCGACGCACGCTTGTTATAAGGACTCTGAACCACGCCGCATGCCCTCGACGCACGCTTGTTATAAGGACTCTGAACCACGCCGCATGCCACTGATCTATGCCTGGTAAATCACTCTGTGTCTGTCAGCCGCCAGCCCCACGATCTTTATTGATTGCTGTTGATGTGAGTTCACACTTTAGTGCGTGTTGGATGTTTGTGTTTGAACTGTGTCTAATAAATATTAGGGGTGTAACGATACACTCAGCTCACGATACGATGTGTATCACGATATAATGTTCACGATTCGATATGTATCACGATATTTGGAATAAAAATTGAAAATTAAACTGAAATGCAAATTTTACCAAGTAAACTATTTTTTATGTATTTCTTTTGTTTCAACTTGTTAAACTGAACCTTCTTTAGGTTAAATTAAACAGGCCTGTCTCTGGAAAATAAAACAATTTAAAAACTTCTTAAAAAATATTATTGAAATGACAGAGACAAAATTAAGGAACAATTTAAGTAAAGGTGCAAACAAAATAAGCTTTCTATTTAATTGAATTTAACAGTAAGAGCTTAAGGCTTTGCTTGGTCACTTGCGTTTTTTGTGTGTGCAAAAAAAATCCACATTTCCAGGTAATCAGCAGTTCTATTAGATAATCCTGAACTGATGTGTCTCTGTCTGAGAGGTTTTTATGGATGGCTGTCTTCATGTTGTTCATGTTGAGTGACAGGGTGGCCGTCTTTTCATTACACAGGACAGTCGTGACTCTTTTCAGCAGTTTAGGCAGGTTTACTATTTCTTCGGCGTCGCTGATGTCGGCGCTATCAAGTGTATCATGTTGACGTGCATTTTTGTGTACCTCTGTACTCAAAAGGGTTAATGCTCGTCCTAATCATAACTCTAAAATGCGATATGATTGTTTAAATAATGTGTACGTTTTCGGTTTCATTTCCACTGCTAAGTGCTGTTCATACTTCCCACGCGGCTCCTGAAAGATCACTCTGTTCCACAAACTGAATGTTGTTTACTACTTTATTACCTGTTCCTCACAACCTGCAGGTTCTGTTCACTGAAGCAGACGCGCGCGTATGGCAAGCCGTTTTAGCATTTAAACCTTTGTTCTGACTATCCATAAATATATTAAATTCACATTTAATTAAATTCATTTAGAGATATCTCTAATTATATTTTGACTAGTCGAATTATAATTATGACTAGTCAAAATATAATTAGAGATATCTCTAAATATATTTATGGATAGTAAGATCAAAGGTTTAAATGCTAAAACGGCTTGCCATACGCGCGCGTCTATCATAGTCCGCCCTCTGTAGTAACAGCTCGCGGTCAGCTCACGTCATGTGTGATTTTGCGGCGGGAACATTATATGAAGACAGAATGATATTTTAGGGTGAATTGTACCTTATAAATACAGTATGTGACTCTTTCAACACCATTAGGAGGTATCCCTGTCGCTGTGCAAAGTATGTAAATCACTGTGAAGACTTTAAAACTTAGGATGTGTGACCCAGTATGCGTGTCAAAAAGCGGACGAGTCTAAAGCAATGACTGTACAACCGAAATGTTGCCAGACGTCTGATTTTGAGAGGATGTGCCATCCTCTATTTCAACTCCACTCATCTTGGTCTGCTAACATTACTGCTGCTGCAATCTGAACTCACGTGCGACAGCAGGTGGAGCGTAGCTCACGTGCAAACAGCTCAACTAATAAGAGAAAACGGACGTCATATCGTAATCAAATCGTCATAACGCCACGATGCATAGAGACATTTTTGCATCGCAATAAATCGTACAACGATAAATCGTTACACCCCTAATAAATACTGCAAAATGGATCCCTCCGTGTCAGTCTCCACGTTACACAATGAGAGAGCAGCATTCACTTGTGTGGGTATCTGCAGGCCAGTTGGGGGAGAAGTTAAAAGCGCTCACTTTCGGTTTCGGTTCGATTGTGTGTGCGTCAATATTTGAAATAAGTAACTTCTGGAGCTGATGATGATAACGTGCATGTGATTATTGAAGTGCTTCTGACTTCTGATTAGTGATAAGTTTGGATCATTTTACTGACTAAATCTTTGAGTCTCGTTCAGTAAGATGAACGAATCTTTTTTCGAGTCATTTGGTTCAATTTGCCAAAATATTACTAAAATGTTATGAATCGCTTCCAAACACATCTACAACTAGCCCAAAAGGTTGATCACACGACAAATAAGTCATCAGTAGAATACTATAAGAAGGAGAAAATAATAATTCAATGTTGACCTGCTCTTTTGTCTATGAAGGTATTGTTGTCTCTTTGCTCAGCTCACCTCTTCATGTCTTTAAATGTCAGGGGTTCGTTCACGTTACACTGACAGACACATATAATCTTAACCAATGTACACAGTCTATAGGAGCCATGATAATTAGTTCACCTTTCATCACGCGACAGAATAACTCAAACCAGAGGACTCGAGAGATGAACGGATCAATTCTTTTTCCCACTCTAAACGCATCTGATTGGCTTCTGCCTTTCCGCGATGAATGTCTCAAAAGACTTAAAATGAATGATACCGCCAGCACAAATGTGCACACGCGTGGATGAACGAATCACTCCCTGAGAGGACTCGTAGTTCCCGAGTCATATTGAAGATTCGTTTAAAATGAACGAATCGTTCATGAACGACCCATCACTGCATCTGATCCTTTCAGAAATGGACAAACGCCAGAGTGAAGTGTGAAAAAACAAAGGAGCAAATTGTTTCAGCAACCTGAATCATGAACAAACTGCCATGTTTATCATCGCCTTCTGGACGTTTATGAACTCTGAATGATGGAATTTCTCTCTAACAGAGGCTACATGTGCTGCTGAAGATTACAGACACAGATTGCTCTGACTGTGGGCTATACTGTATGTTGCGTGTTGTTTTTGAACCCAAATAAATGACTAGACGGCAGCTAGCTCTCTGCAACTCTCGCATGGTCACCTACTGAAGCTAAG